GCACAAACATACCATTGATAGAGCTAATAAGGTCACCAGTGGTTTGCTTGTTCGGGGATACGGCGTTAATGATGGCTTTCTTCAGCGAGTTTTCCCACCCGCGAACCCACGTATCGGATTTGTCAAAATCGATGAAAAGGTCAGCCTGTTGCAAGACATCTAAGGCTGCGGCCGTTATAGAATCTAACAACTGCGGCACTGCCTGTTTCAGGTTGCCGGCCAAGGGGTCGATGGTTATATACGAAAATCCCTAAACTTCGTCTTGATGTACTTCGTACTGATCTCTCTGACTCGTGCAGCTTCTGCAAGCGCTTCAGTTTTTTCTATCTCTACTTGGCGAGCACGAGCAGTCGTTGACGACAACGGTTGGGCGTTATGGCCTACGAATGCACTGTTGCGTGACAACAATGAGTGGTCGCTGCAACATCAATCAACAACGGTACTTGCCTGTCATCACGTGGGGCTGTCAGGGGTTGGTCCAGACGCTCCTCCAGTTGGAGATCGGTGGGCTGGTGCGGTTGGTTTGCGTCAAATATCTCCACAGGGGAGTGATCCTCGAAGGCTGGTGCCTCTGAGCCGTCGTTGCTTCGGCGGTGTCCGCGGCGGCGTGGGCTACAGCTCCTGCTATGACTCCGGCTACGACGACGGCCACGACTCGTGTCCTCCTTGCCGGCGCTTTTAGTCGCCGAAGGCTTGCGTTCCACAGCAGCGTCATCTTGGCGGCCGTTGGATCCAGAGCGCTTCTTGCCACGTTTGCCTCGATTCAATCTCTTGGAGCTGCTGGCGGTCACGGAAGCCGACGCCTCACTTTCGCTAGCTGCGGAAGAGCGCGACCCTCGCGAACCACGTTGACGGTGACCGTTATTGTTGCCACGTCCACGGTTGCTTGACGAACCTCGACCACTACCACGACCACGGCTGCCACGGCTGTGGGAGCTGCTGCTGTCGGTAGCTCACTCCTTCTTCACCTTGCGGTGAGTGACGACACGGAAATCGCCCGTCTGCTTGGCGAATGCTGCAGAAGCACCAAACGTCGCTGGCAGACCCGAAGGGGGAAGGTACCAGTTGACCTCCGCCGGGCGGTAGCCACCTGTAAGGCTAGCATAACCTCCTCGGAGCCCGTGCAGAAGACGCGTTACCGATTCTGCTAACGCGTGAGGGCATGAGCGACGTGATGCATGAATTCACGAAGAGTGACCGTAGGTCTCTCCGAGCTTTCTAACATCGTCGTCAGCACTGTAGCCGCCTTGGTGACTGGTATCCTGGATGCTTCCGCGAAGGCCTGCTGGTGCACGTGCGCGAAGTTAGACACCGGAATGTCAAGGAACAATTCATCCCCCTTTCGGAGGCTGAGGTCCGGCGGTCCTTGCGCTATTTGGCTGTGTGACGGTTGGGCCGGGGGCGGTACCACATAACCACCTCTAGCGATGGACAGTGGTGGTTTCAGCAACAGCCCTTGCTGCTGGTATGGCAGACCGTACCCCGTAGGGCCGGCGTGCTGGGGCTCGGAACCAAGCTCATTCGAGCCGGTGAGCGCCATGTGCTGCGAACCAAATCCCGAAGGACCGGTGAGCGTGTGCTCCGCATCGAACCCCTGTGGGCCGGTGGGAGGGCCTTGCGTCAAACCAAATCCCGTGGGATCGGCGAGCAAGGGGCTCTGCGAACCATACCCCGAAGGGTGTGTGCGAGCCTGCTTCAAGCCATGCTCTTGCGAGCCGGCGAGCGGTGAAGGGCCAACAGACGAAATTGCATTACTACGGGGTACAACTGGGTGTAGTCGCTTTGCGAGAATCTCATGAGCAGGCACGTGACGCATTGTAGCGTCCGTTGACCGTGTATGGTCGATAGCGTCGGTGGTTTACCAGCCAAACGCCGTGACCGTCTCACAACAGGCATACTCGTTGTTTGCACGCGTGTGGGCGCAAATGGGAGAGGAGGGGCTACGATCTTCGGCTACGGCGGGTAAAGATACACTAGATACAGATTCTACGTCTCTGCCTGCAATTGCATCGGTGCGAACAGGGGCAGAAGCATGGTTTCCAGTCGGAACATCTTCACTGTCTTTGTACTTTGTACTCAAGTGATTGTGGATGCGGGTACACAAGTGCAGCGTCGCGTGTATCATGCGCGGCACCAGGCGGGGCAGGGTTACTTGAAGCAAATGCGCCGCTGGTAGCTTGCGGTTTCTCTCCATCAGCGGATCTCAGGGTATCCGACTGCTGTGAGGTCGCGGTGACTCTCAAACTTTGACAGCGAGAGCCATCTCCATCCGTCTCCGAAACATTTGTGGTGTTCTCGGAATGCGATAAAGAAGAGGTGTCGGAATGCAGCCAAGAGAACGTTTTGACAGTTTCTCAAGGCTTGCGCCAGCGAGACCAGGGGCAGCATCGCTCGAGGCGACCGCTCCGCTGGTGCGTTCTGACGTGCGTTTGACGGGGCTGCTAACTCCAATCGAGTGCGTGTGTGAGGCATCGATCAAACTCGTGGATTGAGAGCCAACACGCTCCACATTCGGCACATATCCGCGCTCGGAATGGGATGCAGCCGGGCTGGCGTCGGAATAGTTCAAACTCTGAGGTTCAAACATGCCGACAGCGAAAGCTGGACTACCAGGGGCAGGAGTGCTAGACTCGACCGCGCCACTGCGGGCGTTTGACACGCGCGCACAATGGAGCTGTGAGCTTCAATCGTGTGCGTGCGTGAGGCTTCAATCAAACTCGGAGAGCGAGAGCCTTCACCATCCAATTCCGGCACATTGCTATTGCTGTGTTCGGATATGGATGCGGGGTGTGAGTGTGCGCGTTGAACCACCGAGCGCATCTGCATTGCTGCAGGTGTCTCAAGGCGGTGTGCCACATCTGACGACCAGCGGCGAGCTGAATCACGAGAGGGCACAGACCTGGAGCGCGGCGCGCGACGAAGGCCTTCAGTGTGCGATCGTGCAACATCATCTTCCTGAGAGTCTACGTCTGCTAACGTGCGTTCGAACTGCTATCGCGATCGTGGCTGCTGCTGCTGCTGCTGCTGCTGAAAAGTCCGACCGCGAACATGCAAGGAGGCAGTCGGCGAATCCTCATCAACACGGAGCGAGCTACGCGAAGCATGCGAAACATCATCATCAGGAGTGTTGTGCGGCGACAAAGGGACCGGGGTCGAGACAGCAGAGTCGCTGCTCCCTCGCGGCTCATCGGGAGCCGACATGCCGAAGCAGGGCCAAGGCGGTTACCTTGCCGCTATTCAACAGACTGCAAAAAAGCGAAAAATCAAAATCAATTGAACGCAAGAATCAAGCAACACGACCAAAACCAACAACGCCAGTGTAATGGTATTTGACCCCATCCTTCAGAATCAATCACCTTAGAGCTGTGTGGAACTCTCTTGTCCGACCACAGTAGGAGATTGTTGTTGCTTTCCGTTGTTCTCTTTCTCTTGATTAACCCTTTGCAAGCCAACTCACAATATCCCACGCACACACGATCATAGATCGCCTGCACGCACACACTGAACAGAAGGGCACACGTCTCGGCATAAAGCCCTGATCTAGCATGACGTCACGTCTTATCATCCGACGGCGCCAAATAATCATGATCAACCACGATCACTTGTCTACCTCCAAATACCATGGCAACTGAAGGAACATAGGGGACAGAGATTCGAGTGGGGTTGTTAGACTACCGCTGATGTCGACTGCTTTTTTCTATGCATACTTGTGTATTTTCTGACATGCATGTCTTTCCGATCTCTGCTCAGTACCGAGAATCTGTAGACTATTCAGTCTGGTCCTGCACAGGCCCACCTGACACGGATGTCTTCCGTGATCACCGCAAGCTACCGGAAGAGGGAGCACATGACAAATTCAGTGACATGTGGGAAAAAGGAGATCGGCATTGGGGATCGATATTGTACACAGAGCCCCGGCGAGGCAAGCAGAGTACATGTAGAAAGAAACGAAAATAATCAAAGATCCCGAACGAAGGCCATAAACTCTCGGGATTCTTTCCTTGTCGCCGGGGCGCGACCACCGCCATGTTTGGACCGGACGTGCCAGTGAACTCAGAATTCCCCAATACACTACTCCATGTCGTTGTGTCTTATATTGCGCCAAAGGTAACAACAGCTTTCAGACATGGAACGCGGAACGTTTAAGCGCTCGCGCGCACGACGTCCGCAGGGAATCTGAGAAAATACACGGAGAACGTAGCGTCGGTTGTATAGGGAGCCGTTGGCAATCGCACATTATCTACATAGTATGCCAGGTATAAGTTAGTGCAGGCAGTGCTAGTCGTGCAGTCCGCTCCCTCGAGTGTGCCCTGGGAGCGCTGATTCTCGAGTTGCGTTTAACGCAGTTGCCTGCCGCTTTTGGAGCTCTTCCCCCCCCCAACAACAACGGTTAAGGGGGCATCTGTGCTGCCGTTTTGTTCTATCTGAGGCACGTGATGATAATGGAGATACCGACATTCCGTAGTAGCAGCCAGCAGCACCTGTGTCGGCAACATCCCCGCACAGTTCAAATTGTATCCCGCCCATCACTCATCCCAGTCAAAGCAGGGGAAAACAACCCTGGTTGGCGTTCTTGGTAGCAGACGAGGCCGGAAATACACTCCTCGTCTTTTCTTCCTTTTCCTCTCCCGCTTCGAGGTTCTCTTTGTAGTCCAGCCCAACCCTGTGTGAAGAGTCTAGGCCCACAAGGGGGACACGGGGTGTTTTGCCTCTGGCCAAAGATAGAGAAAACAGGACAAAGAGTTTTCCCTGCGGCCGCTTCCAGCCTCCCTGAAATCGTGTGCTGAGGGGTCTTCAACCAGAGACTGTGGGGCGGTTCAGGCCCGAACGCCCAATGTCCATCTCCGCTGTGAAGTCTTGGTTGAGTCGCTGTTTGTGGGGCTTTCCAAGGACGTTCGACCAAGTCCCCAGCGTTCTCCAAGAACCAAAAAAAATAGTTGCCTGACCATACCCCATCATTGATCCCTCGGCATCCGTGGGAATGTTTTGGTTTCCCAAAGGTGTCGGCTGCTTTGCTACATGGGTGCGTCCGTGCCGATGGACGTGCTTGTGACGAAGCCCGAGGTGAGTGACCCCGGAGTTAACGCGTATGTGTGGGTGTGCTTGGGAATGCTTCTAAAAAATGCAGATGGGACGCTCAAGCAACGATAATATTTCTCTCCTGTTTTTAGCTCCGTTGTGCACACGATGTATATCCTCCTTCGGAGTCCTCTCCTGCCTTCGGCAGACTCTCAAAGCGTTGTTTTCTCCAGAAGGGCCAAGCATCTGCATTAGCCTCCCTTCTGCGCACCAACTTTTTTTTTTTGCATGTTGCTACACCCCGTGTTGTACGCCGTGTCCGGAATGAACCCCCATCATTTCAGCACTCGTTGGTTTTCCAATCGAGGGACGCGTCTTTTCACCCCGGGTGTGCCGACAAGAGGAACATCCGCGTCAACGGCGATGGCTTTGGAATCGCTTGGTGAGACATTGAAAGTGTCGAGCCCTGTTGAACGGGGCTTGTAGCACCACCTTTGAAGTCCCCGTTCCTTGTTTTTTAGCGCAACCAAAGGATGACTCTCCTCTTTTTCTCAGTACGAGCTTGCGGCACGATGGAATACTGTGTTGTGTGGAGGAGCTTCCGTCGAACATCCCGGGAAGGGGGGCGCTGTGAGGGTTTGCTCAACCAGTTGGGATTACTGAAAGGACAAGGAATCGCGCCGCCTCGTGGGCTTTGAACGACTTTTATCGCCCCACGAAGTAAAGCGAAAAGGCCTGTCGACTCCCTGCCCCCATCACCCAACAGATTGCCGTCGAGATGCTGCCTGATTTCGCCTCCACGGCCGACTTCACCAGGCCTCGAAAAACACTCTGGATAGATACCACACGGGCGGTGTTATTGCTGTGGCTGAACGTGTAAGAGCAAAACTGCTGTTTGAGCGATCCCACGAAACAAATTGGCCCCCTCCCCCGCCCCCACCCACCCACCCCCCTCGGCGTTTGCCATCGGCATTGGGTTTTTGGTCGCTTGGCAACGACATTGTAAAACAAGCCAATTCACTTCGTGAACTCGGCAACCAGGTTACCGTTTGTTTTGTTTTACCTCTTTTTTGTTTCGGTAACCATAATAGTGGTCGAGTAGATCATGTTGTGCGGGGTCGAGAACCCTCACTCCGCTCAAGGGGGATGATCGCACCACGTTGTGTTCAAATGGTGAAGCATCCTCGAGGCAGTTACACAGTTCTTATAACTGTCTCTGGAAGTTATAGCACCAGAAAATAGATTAAGTCATACGCAGCTGTCATTCGTGCGCAAGGAAGTAAGCACAAGATACCGAACACCCTTAGCAGGATGCAGCGCACTCTTCATGCGACTCGCCGAATACCTCACGGCGCCTCGCGCTTGGTGATGTGAGAGCCTGGTCCAGTGCGAACCCGGCGTGCTCCGTTCCGGCTTTGTAGGGTTTCGAGGTCAATGGTCTAACGACTACGGCATGCACGACTATGAGTACACCCCCCCACCCCCATCCCTACAACCCCCCGCTGGGGCGACGTTTTACAATAGGTACACCCCGAGACGGATCGAGGAAGGGGGATGCGTGGTAAAGTTTCCTACCCCGGCCTGGTCCAACACCAACCTTCTCAACATCGCCAAGTTCGTTGAGTCAGGCCTCGTGTTCGCACATGTCCGGGCGGCGTCGGATGGAGCCGTGCTGGTGGGGAACGTCAACCACGAGAACACCCACCCTTTCAAGGTGCTTTTGGTCTGCCTGTACGTAGCGTTTTGACACGCTTTACAATACCGTGTCTGGAAATGACTTCGGGTGGATGCGTGCAGCTACTGCAAGGAGTTGGTTTTGTGTTCCAGCGCGTTCAAGATGGTGTGGGTAGCAGCAGCGGAGATCCACCTCACAGATTCGCACACCATGATCATACGACAACCTGGACGTCCACAGCTGCCATGCGGTACCGTTGTCGATCAAGGTATGTATGCACGCTCACTCGTTCAACAAGATAGGCTGCACGCTCACGGCTGGTTTTGTACGTTGAACTTGCCTTCGTGTGGGACCACCCCCCCCCCCGCCCCAACCCGACATCAGTACAAACGCTACACATTCATGCACAACGGAGGCATCCCCGGGTTCGCGAGGATGAAGCGCCAGCTGCTTGCTCAGCTCGGGGACGCGGCCTACCTGGCCGTCGAGGGCAGCACGGATTCGGAGGTGAAGAACACGGAACACCGCTTCTTCTAGGTCGACATCCCGCTTCGTTTATGTTCTTTCCTTGTCATGTGTTTCTTGATTTACTTTTCTTCAACCGGCGCCCCATGGGTCATGCTTCGGTTTCTCATTTTATGCCCTGTCCATGGATATTTCCGCCACAGCGATGAGTTTTGAAGCTTGTAGCCCATCTGGTGTCCTCAACGACATGTCATAAAGGAAAAATAATTTTGTTGTTGGACGACGGAAGACACGTGGTTCCAAGAAGCCGGTGCCGGTGGAAAAGATACCTCGGAGAACGTAGAGTGGTCGCTTCGTTTGAGACAACAAAGCTCGGGGCATTTTACAGCACAAGCTGTTGCAGCCTGCTATTGAGCGCTCTCCCACCCGTCGTTGCTGCTAGCCGGCGAGCATCTGGATCACAACGGAGGAGGAACCCCCTGAGTGGTCGCCTTCTACGGAGATCGAGTGGAGAAGTGCTCTTTTTGCCGTCTTCTCGGAAGTTGTGTCTTGCCCATCTTGCGTTTTGGTTGCTTGCATGCTATTGGCTTTCCTGTTCCTTCATCCCCTCTCCGAATGTTGTTTCGCATGGTCCACTTCTTTCGCTTTCTTTTTCTGGGCGCGTACAGCTCTGCTTCGCCTATTTCTTGGATGAGCTGCCCAACACGGGCGACCAGCTCAGTGCTCAGGAGATTTCCAAGGTAAGAAGAAGAATATTTTTTCGGCACTTGGCCGATCTGAGACTTGAATCGACGTTTATGGAGGGAGCCTTATCGAAATAGGACGTTGCACTCAGAAAGAATACTGCCGCGAATAGTGGGAGAGAGCCCGCCGTCAATACCGCTGAGCTTGCACGAGCATAATGGGGGTGTGGGTTGGTTGATTGCTTCGGGACCGTCTGCGTTACCCTCGATTCGAGATTGTCTGGTTTGGCTGTCTTTCGACTCGGCCGATTTGTTTGCACACACGAAGAGTCTGTTGGTTTCGTACCAACGTTCGATTGTCTGCCGTAAGACGGAATACATTCATGATGTGTTCTGCATGTATATTTAGTCCGTTGAGATCCGTTGGGCTCTTGGAGTGAAAACACAGCTGCGTGAGCTAATTATTTTAGCGTGAAGACCGACACATGTGGTAGCTGGCAGCCAGCTGTGGACGGTCCCGCTGCCTGTTTTTTCTTTCATCTGGCACCATTCCTATGATGAATGACACTACTTTGCTCTCATTAGCCCACGCCAGGGGGGGTAGCCCTTGAAACGCCGTGCGATCATTTCTTCCGGTCGCTCTCTTGATCGTATTCCCTCCTCTGCTTGCGATTCCTAGCCAGACGCATCGCACCTCCCTTTTACCTGCCTCTCGTGACGAACCGTATGGCCCCGCTCCCCCGGCGTCTGGTTCCCTTTCGTGCCCGCCTGCCCTCGCTTCTCTTCTTCCCCCTCCTTCCCTCTGGTTCGCGTAAAATTTCGTATCTGGTCTCGCCATGCGGCCTTTTGCTTTTTTCCTTGCCCCGCAGGTCTTGCGCCGGACGATCGCTCGTATTGTATCGGCGGTTGCGTCGTTATCCGCTAGCACATGTCCACCGGCCCCGCCAACAGCCACGACGACAGCACCATCCACAAGTGGGCATGATGGTGGGCCGACGACCTCCCCACCTGATGCTGCTTCAGCCCGTGGTGGCAGCAGTGCTTCTGCTGCGGCACCGGCCATGTCCCTGAACTTCTGTGTGACGGACGGGAGGCACATCGTTTGCTCGCGGTATCGCAGCCACGCCCGGCAGGATCCTCCGAGCTTGTTCGTCCTTGCGGGGGCAGGGCTTGCATGTGACGAGGCGGGGTGCTTGCGGCTGACCGCCCCTGGTGAGAGGGCGCCTGATTCATAGTTCGGTTTCTTTCATGTTGCATTCGTTCTGTCTGGCGGTTACGGTTGAAGACGGGGGGAGTGCGGGGGGTCCGCAGTGCACATGTGCAGAGCAATGGACTGTTTCGGCCACCGCATTTTTGGGGTATCGAGTGAACGTTGAGTGCACAGTCCTCCCTTAGGCCCAGATGCACACGTGCGCAACGAGTTGGTGATCGTCGATGTTTCGCTGCAGAACTAAGGCCCGTTATCAGGCGATCAACAGTCATATTCCTCAACAGTCCTATCCTGTCCGTCGTTCTGGCTTTTCGCCATCGTGTCCGCGAAACCGCCCCTACGCATGCACCTGCGGCGCCAAAATATGTGCATTGGGTCGGGTCGCCTTGTTCAAGAACCTCGCACAAGCGTGGTGATTTCGTCGGAACCTCTCTGCCGCTCCACCAAGAGCTGGGAGCTGGTGCCGCGCAACAGCATGGTGATCGTGGAAGGCGCCACTCCCACCGCAATCCCTGCCACGGCGGACACAGCGCCCATCGCTGCTAATGGCAACACCGAAAGTGCCGGTAGGGCGGTGGCCGCCGAAGAAGGTAGCGACCATGGCACCATCCCTACGTCTTCGACCGATGTATCGTCCAGTGCCGGGGCTGTTGTTGCTGCTGCTGCTGCTGCTGCTGCTGCTCCTCCTCCTGTTTCTACTGCAGAGGCTCGGGAAACACCGTTGGGTCTTGGCCTGGTGTCTTCGATCAAGTACGAGCCTCTGCGGTGCCACCCGTCGGATTCGCCAGCGTCGCACGATCCGGCATTCCCAACGTTCTCCGCGAGGGTGCCCGGTAGCGGAAGCTGCCGTGCTGGCGCCGGCACCGGCAGCAGCAGCGGCAGCAGCAGCGGCAGTAGTAGCAGCGCTTTGGGTGAAGGAAGCAACTACTTGGTTGCGAAGGGCACCACGGAAAGGTTTGGCTGCGCTGAAGCGGGTGTGGTAAGCGATAGAGGTAGTGGTTTGGGTGGTGGTGATGGTGATGGTGGTAGTGGAGGTACATGTGGCGGCGGTAGTAACGATGGCAGTCGGGAACAGAATGAGGATCGAGCAGCTGCTTCTGGTGCATCGACTGCGGCCCCGTACAGCAGTGCTTCCCCCGCGGCTCAGCGGGGTCTGGCAACGGCCGTGCAATAGTTTACGAGGGGATAGCGGTGGTACGAGACTGGAGTGGCGCGGTGCTGTTCAAATGTGGAGCGACGTGTAGCCCTCGCCAGCACGCTTTTTTCTTTCTTTGAGCTGACACCCGTGTCAGGAACGTGGGAAAAAGGAACAGAGGTGCTACATGTGAATGTGTTTTTGGGTGATCAGTGCAGATACAAGAGGCGCCAAAAGCAAAGCTACCGCAACTGAGAAACATCTGCTAAAAATGAAGTGAATTCTGCTCGTTGCCTCGTTGAGGTTGCGCACACCCGTTGGGGATGTCGGTTTGTTGGTGGGATACCTCGTGGCGTTGTATTGGTAGAACTGCCCCGTCTCGTAGATGAATTTCCGCCTCCATTCTCCATAGGGACTTGGCATGATGGTAGATTGACGCCCCACGTAGACTACCGTTTTACCTCTGTTGTTGTTTGTGCTCTTTCTTCCTGTGACGTCGGTGTCTGTGAAATCACACCGCACGCAGCGGTGGGGTACGAGTTGGCCAATGAATGTTGGGCCGCCGGAGAGTGTCTGTAGCGAGCGAAATCATCGATCACGAACGCATCCCAGCAAATGCTTTAGAGTGAGCCAAAGAAGAGCCCACAGTGACACGGGCCTCTTGAGCCCACCTCAGTACCTCTTCATAACAGATACAAGGATGGCATAACCTTAGAACATACGTACGATCGAAGCACACCGTTCCGATCGAAGATCCTTGGGATGGGGGTTCATATCACTCACTGTCTCACTGTCAGAAAATACTCTTGGAGGTGGGCGAAGAACGGTTCGTGTGTGGCAGTTTGATTGGAGTACATAACCCCCAACGACATCCAACTGCAGAAAAATACCCTACGATTCGACCGGTAGAATCAACACAACGACAACATCATTAGCATCTTTGAAGGTGCTGCGAAATCTCTCCGTTCGGTCTGTTGTCTTCGTAACCTCTTACTCCCATCGATGCTGCTACTTCTCGGCGTTGGGGCCACGTGCTACTCAGCAAGGCGTGCAAGAGAAAGCCATCATGTCTCCATCTCGGCCGTTGATCAACCTTTAGTCAAACAGACGATATTGACGAAACAGTTTGAGCACGAGAGTGCGGCATCATGCAGACGTGAAGCTGAGCGCCGTCTGACATGATAGCAATGCTTTGCGGCTTGAAGATCATGGCATGCTCCTAGCCGTCGGCGGGGCCATAGCTGTCGAGTTCGTGTGCGAAACAAATATTGGAGGAGGCGTTATCAAAGGCACCGTGGTTGTATTTTCCTCTCCGCCTACCGTCCCCCCCCCGCGCGCGCGCACGTGTCGGAAAACTAGGCTCTTGCTTCACCTGCCATTCTGCTGCTCTCTCCGGTCTCTCTGCACACAGTCAGTCTGCATCGGAAAGCTCAGCACCAACCATCCGCGCACGTACGCTCCAGGAGGTGAGAGCAAGGGAGAGATAGAGAGGTGTTCCGCGAGCATCTTGGTTTCTGGCGCCGAGTGTGCACAGTGCACAGCATGTCTTGGATGTGTGTGCTGTAGAACACGCATCAAAATAGCGGCTGAAACGGCGGGTCGGATATGAACATGTAGAACAGGAGGATCTGAGTGGCAGAGAACAGCAGCCAGGCAGCAGTAGTATGCACTTGGTTCAGGACAGCGGGGAATTGCTCTATCGCTCTTGGTACAACTCGCCTTGAGGCCAGCGCGCCGCTCTTTACCATCTTGGCAGTAGCGGGTTAATTAGGTGCTGGCAAATCTATGGTCTGCGGTCAGTGAGGTGCCAGGTGGATGAGCCACATCACAGCGCAACATGACGATGGATCCATGTACAGAGATGGTACATGTAGTGAGAGGAGGTAAACGCCAGTATCCAAGCAACTGCTCGGGGCGAGCGATCTTGGGTACTGCACGTCGGAGAGTACTTTGGTGATGTCCATATGGGCATCGGTCTTTCTTTGTCTGTTGAGGCCAACTTGGTTGGGCACAAAGAGCAAGTCATTTTCCCAGCAGCATCGGACAAATCGTGTCCTAAAATTGTTCAGTAACTCGATCCACCAAAGATCAAAACAACCACCGAAAGCTGCAAGGCACAGAATGGCGAGCGCGAATGTATACGTACCCCCGCCCTTCCTGGCATAACTCTCACTCCATATCGCCAGCTGTAATCCCCACTCCTCTATTCCCGCACTCGCCAGAGACCTCTTTGTCCCCCCATTACTTGCCGTCCGGTATTGACTGCCCGATCCTGGGATCCTGTGATGGGTTAGACCTCTCCCCTGTGGAGAATTCTCTGCAAAAATCCGTTGGAAAAAGCGGAAAAAACGAAAAACATCCAAATTCAACATCTTTACCCTTCCACCGTGCCCAGGATTAGGACCAGCAGAGAGTAGTGTGCCATCCGCAATACTGCACTTGATTGAGCATTGCGCGCGTGCCTTCGAAATTCTTTTCTGCCAAAATAGTCTAACAGCTCAATCAAACACACAGATGGACACAAGTAGAGCGTGATCTTACAATCTCCGCCCGGCAGTCTATAACAATAATAAACGTGGTACCACGTATCCGGAGCACCCCTGTTTCAACTGCTGTAAGATTAGACGGGTGGACGGTCCTCTTTGCTTGAACACTGTGTACTCAAAGGTGTCCCGAGCTCTTGCGCTCTGCTCTTGGTGCGGTATATCTACGTGCCGATGATGCCCGATTTCTACAGCAGTACACCATATGTGTGCATAGTGCCAACTACCGTTTGACAGGTCTTGATATCATGGCGTCTACGTAGTCTGCAGGGAAGTAACGGTAAATGACTTTCCCCCGACAACCTCGGCTCATGCTCGTGTCTCCGGTGTACTCAAGCATGAAGATGACGAAGATCATGACGCTCTTGCTGCTGCTTCTCGGAGTCCTCATCCTGGGCTCCGCGCACGGCAGCGACAACGACAACAACAACGACAACATCATCAACAACGACGATGACGACGACAAGACTTTCTCCCACGACCAGGTGAGGTAGATGTCGGATGAACTCTTTCTCAAGCCCTCGACCTTCAAACTACCGCTCGCTGCCAATTGTGTCATGTGCATGGTCAAGCAGTAGACTGCGGCAGTACATATGTAGTCTACCATGTGTACACCGACCACGTTCCATCTGGGGTGCTCACAACCACCACCATCTGAGCTGCCCTACACACACTGCTGTTGGATTGTCGGTGTGGTGTTATTGGCTGCGAATATCGTCTACAGTAGGCGTTATAGTCCCAGTGCAACGGTATTGCTGCTGTACTCCACAGCAGTAGTTGTGTAGGCTGTGACCAGAGGCGCTGCCAATTTGTGCAGGGTTGGCGTCGTCAGTAGGACTGCGTTGTCGTTCGGTAGTTCCCCCCGCATTTTCGTAGATTGCTATCGACCTCGTAGATTGCTGTGGGCGCGATGGTGTGTATATAGCCCAGAGTTGCGGAGGAACCCGCGCTCTGCCACACTTTTCTGCTGGCGCTGAGTTACAGAGAGTAGGACCCGCCCCAATCAAAGTGAGTGAGATCAATTCCTGTTCCTCTAGGATAGTCGGGATCGCCCCACATCGCAATCACATTACATCTGGAGTCGTGATGGCAGGCAGCATAGCTTCCGCAACAAACGTGTGTGTCGTGTTGATCGGTCATCGGTTTGGTCGTTAGCTGTTGTTCGCCCTTTGTGTCAGGGGGGTGAGGCGGAGCGGACGAGACGACTCTGGTTTGACTTCGCCATTGCCAACCGCTGGCGCCGCTCCTGGCCTAGAGACTAGAGAAAGTTATCAGGCCAACTAACCCTGACTGTTCGTGCTGCGGCCGTGGCAGCCCGGTTGACGATGAAACACCGATTAGTCTTTCCAAACCATCACCCGATAGCCAACTGCTTCCCGTGATGTGATGTGGTATGCATACATATCGTCGCCTGCTTCACGGAAATACTGAATGTCATCGATGACGATGCTATCGGCACATCATCCGTGCCTGATTTAAGCCGCTGCTATTGAGAGCTCCTCGGTCACTCACACTCCCCACGGTCCGCATGTTCTCATCTCCTCTCATCTCTCACCATCCACCAAGAATAACAACACACGAGCGATGCGGCCGATTACAGCCGAAGAAAGTTATCCGCCGTTGAGATTACCGCATGAATGCATACAACACAAGTCTACTTCTGTATGAATGCGACATTACAAGATCGGCACCGCGACTCTTGCTGCTGTAGAGAAATCGAGCTTTGAAAATCCGTCCACGGGGTGTGATACCTTGTGTTTGTGTCACTCATCTGCTGTAGTTGAGAGTTGAGAGAGTGCTCTTGGGAACAAACTGTAACCGCACCTTACGAACTCCGCTCTGCTGTCGTAAGGGTGTCTACAATGAAGCCCGTGGCATTAATACTGCCATTTACCATGTATGTCTTGTGTCGTGTGCATGCACCTGAAACGCGCAGTCAGTGTCGACCGAGTACGGCTGCTGTCCTAGGAAGATTTGCTGTCATACTGACGTAGAGCACATCCATCCGTAATATTTCCTGCTGCTGTTGACTGCAACCCTGGTAAAATTGAAATTCCCTGTTTCCGCCTAACAGTGTCAGCTCCTGAGTCTGCACCTTCAGCAGTACCTGCTTTGCCGGTACTTGTACGAGAACGGCGAGAAAAACACAAAGCACACAAGAAAAGCAGTAAGCCTTCCCCCCACTGCTGCCAATTACTGCTGTGTTTACTGCACATACGTAGCGTCTCGAGCCATGTATTCCTTTTGTACATGCATTGTGTTTTCCATGAAAAACTCATTTTGTTTTTTTGGTGATGTGCAGAGCTGACAAGCTGTTGTGGACGGAGAAGTAACTTCCAAAGCCTTTATGCATTCGTTGCTTTGTAATGTGTACCGAACTCTTTGCGTGAAGAATTCTCCCGCCCCAGAATAAAGTAGAATCCAAGCCAGCAAACCAGCAATCCAAAGACAAACAAATGAGAGTGCTTGCACTACTGCACAACATGTCAACGATGCACATCCTCCTCGTTGGTGCTCTTTTCGTCCGTCCGTCACGGTGTAATCAACACACGAGCAGGAGCCCGTGGTCGTTATCGAGCCTTCCGTCCTGCCCGGAAGCAACTATGGCGACAGCAGCTCCCGGCCGTTCCAGCCGCTGTCGAGCGTCGACGAAGACGCCACCACTACCACCGCCGCCTCCACCCACGACCGTTTTGAGCACGTTGGCTGCCTGAAGTTGGCGGAGGAAGAGATGGTCTCCCTCGGGAGGATCGAGACCAAGGCCGAAGCTGACATCATCCCGGGGGTGTTCGGCAGGGATGACATGACCCCGCAGGTACGTTGGTGGGCCGATTGACATAACATCGCGGCTACTGGTGGCCAAACTGCAATAAATCCCGTCTAGACATCATGCCATAATTGTGTACGTCGCGAATATTCAAGTTGAGTTGCGGCCAGCCTTCAGTTGTCGGTTATGGTGTGGCTTTTGGCGCAATCAGGACGTTTGCGGTCACTCGGCTCTGCCGTCTTTTCACGCACCACATCTCTGTTGCTCGCTGACTTCTGCTGTTCCTCTTTCCCCTCTCTCGCTCTCAGCAATGTGCTGCGATTTGCGAGGGCGTCGGGCAAGATGGCTTCGCGGTCACCCGAGGCAACCTGTGCACCTGCTTTGCGGAAGCAGACGCGGGGATCTTTGACGGCAGCAAGGGTGGTGTGTGCGATGCCCCCTGCACCGGCGACAGCTCGCAGCCATGCGGCGGAGTTGGCTCGTTCGACGTGTACCGGCTGAGCCTCACAGGAGGCCACGACCGGAACCAGCTCCCTCGCCACGCCACCGTCACGGTCGAAAGCACCGGATTGCCCGTGAACGACGAAACCACCACCACTGCCGGTAAGACGAGGGAATCCCGGGATTTTACTCTCACTGTACCGTAGTTGATTCTCCTTGTGTGAATGCGTGGGCAAAGGTGGTCGAAACAGTCTGTACAAAGCTGCCACATATTGTTGTGCGTGTGAAGGGTGTGGCCCATGGCGTGGTGCATCGTGTCCCTTGCGTGCTATTTCTTGGGCTCCGTTGGCAACCGCACGCATGCATTCATCATCCACCGGAAAACCCCGTCGCGTGGATTGTACCAGTCTTGGTATTGGTATATATGATGTCGATCTCGAGGACAAGACAAGCCGCGCCGATATGAGTAAAAAAGCGCTCGCTCCTTCACGACACGTTTGCTTCTCGATCTCACCCCGATACACTACACTGAGGCTGAGTCTTGGACGTGGGCGTGATGTGTCCCTCTTGTCCCTGATGAACCTTTGATTTGGACTTGCTTGTCGGACACCAAACTAAGTATTGGAGAAATCCTGCGCCTAGGACGTGGGGTCTAAGCTTCCGCTGCATCGTTTTCTTCTCTGAAGGGTCACTTTTTCGTCATCACAAACTATCACACTGAAGGTTGAAGTACCTCACGCCGCCGTTTCCACAGGAGTCGCTTCATCCGACCCAAGCGCCGCAGGTACCAGCACCGCCGACACCAGCACCGCCGACCTCAGCGGCACCACCACCACCACCACGACCAGCAACGGCAACAGCATCAACATCAACAACGATGGCTACGACAACAACGGCGACAACGGCTGCAGCAGCAGCAGCAGCAGCAGCAGCAGCAGCGTCATCAACACCAGCGACGACGACCACGACGACAACACCAACGGCGGCACCAGCAACAACAACGACAGCAACAACAACGGCAACAGCAACAACGGAGACCACGACGACGATGCCCCTGGCCCGGAAGACTTCACCGCCGGCGACGCAAAGACCAACAACAATGTGAGGAGAAACAACCACATAACTCATCTACTTCTCGGAATATGGCAATCGTTCTCTACAGTTACATACCGAAACGGTATTGAGGCCATCAGTGGGTCAGTAGCGGACGTGGTGAACTTGAACATAAGGTATATTTCAACCGTGTAGTAGTAAGGGTTAACAAGCGATCTGGCGGTGCCGATCTGTGTCAACATGATGGACGAACTGTGCTACAGAAGTTCGAGACGCGGCGGTGGCAGATGAGGTAGCCTCAAAGTCAGGGTACCAACATCCACTCGCTCACTCACCCACCCACCACACACACGCGCGCTGTGGGGGCGTTCCACCGCTCCGTGCAGGGTAGATAGGTTGCCGCACCTCCACAGACCCGCCGAAACGCTTTTTAATGATCCTACTCCAAACGCTTGATGTACAGATTCGCCAGGGGACAGTGAAAGTCAAGACCTTCGTCAGCTGGTGGAGGCCACGCCAGCTCACCCTGGTCGACGCTTCAACCCTGAAGCTGTGCAAGATGGCCCGCGGAGGAGGGGTCAAGTCCTGCCAGGTTTGTACCCTGCTACCACCGCCCTCGGTTTGCTTCCCCCCGTGTTTCGCATCGAACAAAACTCAATCGAGGTTGAAACCAAACGGATATTTGTTTTGCCCGCATGTGCTTTGCACAGGCCGGTTGGGTCCATGGCAATCTATTCGAACATGGGTTGCTAGCTGTTTGGTGCCGCTAGGCCGCTATTACCGCAGTGGTGTGCAGTAGTAGTCAGTGAGGCACGTATTCTCTCAGTTTGCTCCCAGAGCCAGAATCTTATCTGGGCAGTCAAGAGCACACGAATCGTCTGTATGGTGTGGAATGCTGAGCGATGATCACCCCATGACTTGCACCGTAAATGGTATCGCTGCTCTCTTGTCCTGTTTTTCCGTGCGATCTTTTCATAACCCTCTCTGCGTATTATTCTCGTTTGACGTGCCACCTGTCAACTCTCAGGACATGCCCTTGGATAGTTCAACCGAGGTGGTGCGAGTCGAGAGTAAGCACGGGAGGCCCAGGAAGGACGGACGCTTCGTGTTCCGTGTTTCGACAGGAATCCCTAGAGGCCTGACGAACAAACGGGTGAGCAAACGGTTTTTTCCACGCAACACACGCCTCATTCATGTCTTGCATCAAGCTAGTTATCTACCGGTATGCTCACAATGTTCCTGACATAGCGACAGAGGATGCTGCGCTATCACGTACTCTCGAGCCAGCTAGCCGGGGATGGCCGTACAACCATTCACGCAATAGTTGCAGTACCTCACGCTGCACCAACCACCACGCCAACTTCTCATGCGTACCTAGCCAACCATGTTTTTTGTCGATTGCTCTCCGTCACCGCCCGTGTTCGTCCTGGCGTTGATGGTCCACTTTCCGTCATTCGGATGTACAACCACCCACCCTTGTCTCGCGCTGCTGTATTTGCTAACGATACCTTCCTTCACAGTGGGAGCTCGATGCGGGAAGCTCCGCAGATTTAGACACGTTGATGTCAGTCCTAGAGGGTGTAACAACGCCCGATTTCGAGAAGGAGGCAGATGTTTTCGCGGTAAGTACTCGTTGTTGTTTTTCATTGTACTGGACGTGTTTGGCGAGAGGCGGGGGCGTGTTGTCGATGCCGTAGCTGTCGTTGTTGGTGTTGGCGTTGCAGTCGCTGCTCTTCAACACGTTGTCGCTTCTGTGCCTGTATTGTAGCCGGTAGCCAACGGCACGGTAGAGTTCCTCCTGCCACGGCACGGAAGCGTACGGTAACCGTAGTAGCCTTCAGTTCCACAAAGCACCTACAGCAGCAACAGACAAACCCGAGTCCATGTCTTCCGTTCCATGCACCTACTCAAATTCTGCAACATGCACTCGTGCGACGCGCCACTATTGCAGGACACTCCGCGGGCGGGTGACTTAGGGGACTCGTTCAAGTTCTCCATGGAGCTCGGGCCATTCACGTTCGCCCCCACGCCCGCCTTCCGTGGCGACAGCATTTCTATCGATGACTACCCGCTCATCCCTGGCCAGTTCCTCTCGACGGCACCGGTCGTAAACTCCGCCAACCTGGAGGTGACGGAGGTCGGGGACCTGATTTTGCGGCAGGGCGACATCCCGGCGTACCCGACTAACGACACACCGCTGTGGGCCCACCGTGTTACGGGGTCGGTCGGGTACACCGCCAACGGGGGGCTAGGGTGTGCTGTGGAGGCGTGGTGGGAGAGGGCCACCAACGGCGGAGAAGACATGGGCATCCCCGTCCACTTGGCCGTGAAGAACGGCAGATGGAGGGTCGGCAGGGGTTGGATGTGCACCCTGGGACGAAGCCCCAGGGTGGCGGGAGGGTGGAGGGTGCACCTGCCGTGGGACTCCCACGGGAAGGCCCTGAAGGCAGCGTCGCTTCAGGTCCGCGACGGCAGCGTGGTGATGGCCACGGAAGACGGCCACATCCTGTGGAGCTCTTCGCCCTCGCCATAAAGGGGGGTGTGGGGTGCCTTCAGTGGTTGCTTCCTGAGTCATTCGATACGTGCCTGTTCTTGTGACGGAGCGGCGACGAAGGGAAGGATGAACGCACGGATGGAGAACGGTTTATTTGTGAACGCAGGACAACAGCCCTTCTGTTGCTCCGTCGTGTACATGTGGTCTGTTTCAGCATCTGTGAGCGGGCGTGGTGAATCATCTCATGTCTTGTCGGTTTCGTTTTTTGTCTTGAGAGCTCGTTCTACGATTGATTGTATCCTGCATGGTTCTGGGCTCAAGGTTGGGTTCTCGGCTTGCTCATCCGTTTGGCGGTTGCCCTTGTGCTGTCTTGCATTCGCCCCCCACATGGAGTAGTTTTCTTTTGTTTCATCGTGAATTTTTCTTTGTTGTTCCCTGCAAGCTCGTTGAGCATCTCTTAGTCGCAGTTTTTTCCCGTTTTTTGTCGAAAGTGCTGGTGGTGTCAATTGTTAGTGCACGGGACGAAGGGCCTTCCGCCCCGCGTTTGTGCTTGTTACGAATGTCGGACTGTTTGATCGTTCGATTCCATCGTTATGGTCCGGGGAGCATTATTCATTTGCGCTGAATATGCTGCGGTGGAGGTTTTGTCTGCCACGGCATCACACCAATAAGAAGGGGGGTGTTGTCTTGAGTGGTACACCTATGTTTGACTACAATGTCGGATTCGATTTTTCGGCACCCTGGTGTGGATGATGTTCGGCGACTGGGAAGCCGCCACAGATGTACGCTGAATCTAGACTTTGGGACAAGCACGACCGGGCGGGGAACATGTGTTGTGAAGCTATCTGATATTTATCTGGACATGGCGAAAGTGTTGCACCTTCAGAGAGTACTGCCGAGGTTATTCGTTATTTTCCGGCCCACTGCTCGTAGTCGTCGTTGTTGTCTACCCACTGCATAGTCCGTCCTGACCTGAGTTCAAAACCTCTTTTTCCTTTTCCCTGCATCCATTTAGACTATGTACACTTTCATCAAGAAGGAAGACATTCGGAATCATGTAGAGCAACACCAGCACCGCCTTGGCCAGCGCTCACTCACGCACGTACAAATTGCGGCACCGACCCAGCGAACCAAGAATCCAAAAAAGGAGTCTCAAAAACTCGCTGCGAAGAGCAAGTCTTTCTTAGGAAATGCATACAGAAAGACAGAGACGGCGAGGAGAGGCCCCAAAATTGAAACGAACCGCGTGAGAGCCAGAGTAGAGCCGACCGATCGTATCATTTGGAACCTGAAATGATATCATGCACGATGAAAGGATTCTTGGCCTCCGCCCAAGTTGTTCAGAGTTTTTTTCCGCCGTCCAGCCACCCTAACCAGTTCAACTGGATCGCGGGCAGGGGTACAAGCACGCAAAAAGGCTGCTTACCGTACACCAACACCAAAATCTTGTGGTATGTAGTAGGGGATGGCGTCCCCCTGCCACTTCGTCTCGGTGAGCGTAAACAAATAAGACTACTAGACTGTTGGATGTGTGCATACCGGTCGCCCCGGTGGTCTAGTTGGTATCCTCGAAACCTTCCAGAGGCCAGGGCAGGGGTTCGAATCCCGGCGTAAGCGAGCTCTTCTTGCAAAGTGAGTTTTTCTCTCGCTTCCGCTCCTGGCCTAGTGGATAGCGCTAGTTCGTGTGTTCACAGAGGGATGAGAGTGCTGAAATCTTGTTGCATTAAAAATCGAAGGCAAAGTACCGCAGGAGGGGAGGGTAGAGAGGGGCTCTTCTGTGTGACCACGGGTTGGAGTAAACGGCACTATTATATGGTGCTGTGAGCGCTGATTTGAAGCGAAGACAAAAATACACAAACAAAACCGTAAAGACAACTGCTGTGGATGCACGCTGTGTGCATCCCCCCGACTCCGATTTACTATGTACAACGGACATGCTTGCTGAGAACTGTAGTTCACAGCATGTACCGGCAGTAGTAGCTACACTGCTGTGGATGTGGTTGCTGTGGTTGCTGCTGCTGCTGCTAGTACTGCTTCTGCTGCTGCTCGGTGGGCACGATCATCAGTGGGACGCTTAAGGCGGCGAGCTGTGAAATATGAAAATGTCTTCTCATTGTCCCGAATGTCGAAACCGATTGAACGATCATTCATCACATCCAGCACTCCACCCCGTCACATGAACCACGTCTTCACAAGTAATCGGCGGAAGGAGACCAACCAAGTCGGACGTGCGATGATACTATCTGGCTTTGCGTGATTTCATTCATCACGGTCGTATGCATATGTCATGCGTGTACGTATGGTTGAACACAGCAGGTGGCACATGCTTCTGCCGAGAGCTTCAATGTCCCGCCCCAAACAACCTACGTTTAGTGAGCTGTGAACCTTGCCAATAGTATACATGCCGTAGTTGGTGCAGCCGGTTCATCACCCCGCAGGCCGTACCCGTGGCTAGCGCATGCAGCCGAAGTCAGAAGGTTCATTATCTCGTAGGGCAGGTAGGTGATGTCCGTCCATCCGTTCGTTCCATCACGAGCCACAGCACCAAACCGTCGACGATTGATTGGCGAATTATTTCCGCTGGCTGGACCAAATGACTTTTGTTACTCCGCATCATCATCATCATCATCATGATCATAATCATCATCGGAAAAAAAAAACGTGAGTGACCTCACACCCCTCCCCGCCCAAGGGCACACACACGTCCGCACCACTACTACCCAACACCGACGCCAGGGGCAATGACGAGGATCATGCGGAAGGCCAAGACGCGGGAAACGCCGAGGAGGATGGCCTGGTTCACTCGAACAAGTCTTCTCACAATGCTTTGGCTCACTTCTCTCTGGCCTTTGTCGCCAAGCCTTCAGGTGAGTGAGCCATTTCGCGAACTCTTTGAGTACGAGACTCAACTTTAGTGTCCTGCGTACTCTTGAGATTGATGTTGAGGAGAAGGAAGGTGACTGCCTCGCGCAGCGCAAGTGTATCTGTCTCTTGTAGGTTCCCCGGGCTGGACGAGACAGGCAATCTCAGCGGGAATGGCGTAGAGCAAGCTATTGCAGGAGGAAGGCGCTTTGACCCGCTCCTTCATCGACGTGAAAACCGCCATCATGACGACAGGCAGCAGAAGGCGGTCCCGGACGAATCTCATGCCACATGCCCTACTGCTGCCGTCTGGGTTCTCGTCCCTTCTCGTCCGCGATCGGCCGTTCAACGCTTCTTCATCGTTCACGGATGGCGCGCAATAGATCAATTTTCGTGTACCTGAAGGCCCATTACATGTACATGCAGACTATGCCCCCAGTGCTGCGGTGGCGCACGCAGGCGGTCACTTATCACAACGAGCAAGCCAAATAAGGAAGAGGGTGGTTTTCGCCGACATGCAATAACTTCAACTACGCGTGCATCCTATTCTGATTATGCCGGCGGCAGCGGGTTGAAGACAATTTTGAATACATACAATGCCCATGGAGCAATCAACACAAAACACAACAACAATCAAGCATGCAGAGAAAGCACTATTGAACACTCCAAAGGGTGGAGAGGCACGATATTATGGTGCTCGTGCTATGTAGGCATGTTTTAGTTAATCGAGAAGCGGGATATGCGCATGAAATGTGAATGAACAATCACTGTCGACTTCCACTTGGAAAATCATCCTGTTGCCGATTACCCGATGTATACAGTGAATTTCGAGGCTGATTTCACCGACGTGTCGTTTTGGTGTTCGAGCAAAGACACACCCAGCCCTTTCGCGTATTGCGAGCCGCGGTCGGAACCGACCTACCGTTTCCATGCAAAGAACTACATCGATTGCCAGTGGGAAACGTTTTTCTCATCCTCTAAACTACACAGTAAACTATGGACATGCGTCCACATTGATTGCTTCTTCAACCTCTTCCCACAGACGGATATGCATCCAAACCTTGACACACACGACGATTTATCGACGAAAGCCACAACGATCAAGGCTGGCTGTGGCGACCGAAGTCCGGTATGAACCAGCGCCGCCCAATGAGACTTCGGAATGTTTTGTTGCAGGACGTATATCCTTATCCGCGTTAAGGTTGCTGATGTACAAGATTATTGTCATCGTTGTCTTGTCCACGTAAGCAGGCGAGAACATATGCGTACGGGTTTAGATTTAAACGCAGTCTAGATAATAAAACGGCCACGGATTCACTATTGTTTTGAGGCACGTTTCGGTTTCTGTTTGTTGCTGATGGGCCGGGCATGTACCCTTTCTTCGCAGTCCCAATCGAACTTGCTCGTCCTCGTCGTCGTCGTCTACCGTCCCAAACCTTCGTCTACGTTCTGCAAGGCCGATGTCTCCAGTCCTAACTTTGATCTTCACCTTTGTCCGTGCATCTGTTGGTTCATGTACTCGTTAAACCCCGTCAACATTCACTCCGGCCCGCAAATGTTTTCTTGTAAGGGTGCCCATATTCACACACCCGACGAACCAACTGCCCAACCTCTTCCCTCTACACCTTCCCAGCATACCATACAGATAGACTCACAAGACGCCTACCAAACTGTCTTTTTGACCCTGTTACACGCGAGGGAAATGTCACGGTGTGCTGCTCGTGAATCGTGGAAAAATCACAATTTTCGCTGACGCTATGGATTCATTACTAATCAATCTTAGACTATTTTCTTTGACAGAGATGGATTCGTTGGGTCAAATTGGCGGAAAAAAAGAAAACGTTACCGCCCACGGGTACCCGCCCACGTTTCTCCCGTCGACATTCTATTTGTTCTTGCCATGTAGTGACCGCATGCATAGTAGAATAGTGCACTACGATAGTGTGCACGTCAATCAGGTTTTACCTGAACAGATTCAGATGAAACACTGACAAAAAATATCGCGTTGAGTGCCTGCGCCCAGGACTGGTTGTTGTTGGTGGTGGAGAAACCACACGACAATCATCTACACGCACACCACATCCTCGACTCAATTTCCAGTGGGACAATAGACCCGCAGTAGCATCACGCCCCTGCGCGCGTGAACGAATAACCCCTACCATACAAGCGCTCGACGGACACAAACCAATCTGGACGTACGTAGGCGCTCGCAGTAGTGCCGAGTGTTCCGTTTGCTTATCGCCAATACATTCGCGGGCCTACCATTCATTCTCTACACGAAAGTACACACCAATCCCGAAAATCACCGTTTCTGGGGGATGCATTTACTACACGGTTGAAATTCCCTCGCCGGCCCTGGCTAAACCGATAATACTATGGCTTCATGGAGAGAGTGAAACCCAAAATGAGGTTCAAATCCCTCTCCGGCCTTCTTCAATACTGTAGCTCGGGCAGGTAGACAATACAAACCGGGTTTGTTTGAGTTCCTGGGGTACAATATCCGACAATACCCCAATGTTTGTGGCCCCCCACCATCGCCCCGGTGGTCTGGTTGGTATCTTCGAAACCTTCTAGAGGTCAGGTAAGGGGTTCGAATCCCGGCGCAAGCGAGCATTTCTTACATAGAGGCTTTATCTCTCACTTCCTAGTGGATAGCGCTAGTTCGCGCGTACACAGAGGGAAGAGAGGGCTGAACTCTTCTCGCATTAAAAATCGTAGGCAAAAGTACCGCAGGAGGGTAGGGTAGAGAGGATATCTTCTGCGTGACCACGGGTTGGAGTAAACGGCACTAGCGCTGTGAGCGCTGATTTGAAGTGAAGACAAAAAAAAAAATTGGGAAAAGGACAGGGAAAACAAAGTGCTTTTACTCAAAGTGTAGAACGATTGTAACAAGGGGAGATTTGTTGTAGGAGCAGACGGAAACAAATCAAGGTTTATTGAAAGTAGTCGAATTTGTAACGTCGTTGTTAGGGTATGCATAAATTGCTACGGAAATACGGGGTCCCCTCCCAAGCGGGAGCAGGGGAGTAGCCACCACCTCGGCACTCTATCGAAGCTAGTTGTTCACACAAAGTCTTACGAGGACTAGTCTAGAGAGAGCAACGCAGAGACAAGGAGCGAGGTGGACACTGTGAGGGCTTCGAGTGGTTTGCCAGCTGGAGGAGCGGCAAACAAGTTTGGTCTTTCAATCAGCGAGCCGTGGGGACCCGAGAGGGCCGCCCAACAGCAGCAGCAGTAGTTGTACGAGGGAGCGCGCTGCTCCATCGCGGTGCTAGAGGAACGCCGGGAGTACCGACTCGCCGGGGTACGTCAACGAGTTCGATTGCCGATCACTTGGAGGATGTTGCGAGGGGGTGAGAGCATGATTCCCACTTGGGGAATAGGAGGACGCGTGATGTGGTTATGTTTGAGCTTAAGCTATTTCTTGATCACTCGGTCGGACGAAATGTTTGCTGACAGTTCCGGGGTCGGGCATCCAGTACATTGTCTCACGAGACGGGATGTTGCGTTTTTCTCTGGGGAGGAACAGTTGGAGTATGTGCGATGGCGAGAGGCGGATAAGATAGAGGTGCACTTTAGAGGACACAAGGGTGACCAGGACCAGACGGGGTCGGTCAGGGCTCGTACACGGGATGAGATTAACGGCCCACAATCGGGGCACAGAGCAGACGGCGGAGCAGTTGCGCTGATTTTGGAGCTGTTGTCATGTCATGCAACGTTACCCGATGATGCGCCGCTATCATCATACCGTAGCGGCCGTGCAGTGAAGGTTCTGAAGTATGACCAAGCCCTTCAGGCGTTGAGAGAGATTGTCGAGAAGTCAGGGCGAAATCCAAAGGACTTTGCGTTACATTCGCTCCGAATTGGAGGGGCTTCCACCTTGGCGGCTGGAGGCAATGTTTCGGAAAGAGTAATCCAGAGAGCAGGAAGGTGGAAGTCTGATGCGTACAAACCGTATACAGTAGACAACACGGAAAACTCGCGAATGGTGTCACGTATACTTGGGGACAAGGATAAGGGAGTCGAGCGGCAGCCAGGAGAAGGCACGGTGTGGGGTAGGCATAAGAGGAGGCTAATATCACCGAACGAGTAGTAGCAGAATGACCTCGAGGTTGGCGAAGAAAATGGTAGGGTACCATTTTGGGGACTTGGTCATCTGAGACTACTGCGGGCAGTAAGATTAGCCCCTGCACCGAGAAAAAGAGAATTTGTGGTTGCCGCTCGGAGGAAAGAGAGAGAAGCAGTTGGCACCTCTCTCTTTCCTTCGGCTGTGGAAAAATAATGATGAAGGCAATTCGAAAGGAAAACAATAAAGGGGAGATTTGTTGTAGGAGCAGACGGAAACAAATCAAGGTTTATTGAAAGTAGTCGAATTTGTAACGTCGTTGTTAGGGTATGCATAAATTGCTACGGAAATACGGGGTCCCCTCCCAAGCGGGAGCAGGGGAGTAGCCACCACCTCGGCACTCTATCGAAGCTAGTTGTTCACACAAAGTCTTACGAGGACTAGTCTAGAGAGAGCAACGCAGAGACAAGGAGCGAGGTGGACACTGTGAGGGCTTCGAGTGGTTTGCCAGCTGGAGGAGCGGCAAACAAGTTTGGTCTTTCCCGCCCACCCACCCCTTTCCTTTCGAAGGTGGGGGGAGGCAAGGACCGTTGCAGTTGCTAATTGGCGAAGAAAATGGTAGGGTACCATTTTGGGGACTTGGTCATCTGAGACTACTGCGGGCAGTAAGATTAGCCCCTGCACCGAGAAAAAGAGAATTTGTGGTTGCCGCTCGGAGGAAAGAGAGAGAAGCAGTTGGCACCTCTCTCTTTCCTTCGGCTGTGGAAAAATAATGATGAAGGCAATTCGAAAGGAAAACAATAAAGCCTTCGTTCGCCCGGCTCCTCTTGCTTCTCCTTCAATTCCCGCTCGCCATCCTTCCTACTCCTCTTCATCCCCGTCCCCCTCGTTCCCCCGCCCCCCCCTCTCCTTCTCACTCCCTCTTTTTCGCTGGCCTCTACTTCTATTTCCCGCCGAGAACGTTTTCTTTCAGGTAGTCTTGCGCCGCCAACAATCTCGGCAGGCCCACACCCCCTTGAGCTGACCATCGTGCTCTTCGTGTCGTCGTCTAGGTGATAAGCCGTACAGCGCGCAGGCTCGGCGAGCGTGCACGAGCCCGCATGGCTAGGGCGCACCCAAGTGACATCAACCCCGTGTAGTCACGGTACCTCTTATAGAAGTATAGAAGTATGGTGTATGGGGGGGGGGTTTTCACTCGCACCCTCCCCCCCATAGCAATATCCAGAATATGAAACGGGTACTTAGAGGTTCCGCTGCGAACGTACCATATCGTTATTTTCGAACCCGTTCAATAATTCTTTACGGCCTGAGCCCACTCTGTTCTGTGGGTTGTCCACCCCTTGGCGTTGTTAGCCCCACCTCCCAAGCCACTTTCGGCAACCTCTCTTCTCCCATATCTGCATCCGGTACTGCCATTGGTGCCTTGTAGGGCGAGATACAGCTGGTGGACTAATCCCCCACCGGGGGTTGTTGCGGGGGTATTTAAAACACGCCTTGCATCTCTTCCCGTTCGTAGGGATTGGAGCCCTTAATGCTGCATCACTTTTGCGCTCGGAGCTCCCTGAGAATATTTTGGCTGTTTTCATCTGCTGCCTCCATCTCATTTTCTGTCTTCAATTTTCCTTCCAGTGCGCTTGGAGCTTTCTATGATGTTGTTTCCTGTCTTCATCTGCACCCCCTCCATCTCGTTTTCTATCTTCATTTTTTCTTCCAGTACTTCTCCGGCGTACACTCTAGCGGCGGGATGACCACGCTATGCAATGTATCCTGTTCATCACATGTAGTTCGATGCTTGTATCAAGACACTGGTCTGCGAAAATTGGGCGTAGCTCCCACGCCCGTGCTTTGCCTTTTCTTCCGCCCTTTGTGCATGTATGCATCCCATTTCAAGTATTTTGCATCCTCCACCACAAGAGACATGTACGTGTCCACTATTGGAACGTCCTTGTCCCCCCACGTCAGCTTGGGATCAACTGCGCCCTCACCATCTTTCTCGCATACCACAATGACGCACATTGGAACGACTATCTCCACTTACCAGCAAAAACCCTCGCTTCCAACCCTTCGGTTCGTTAGTCTGCATTTGTGCTCTTCGCGTCCTTCCGGAATATCCCACATTCCAACAAATTCGCCCACAAACAGCAAAACTCCCGACATTGAACGCTCCCTTCCTTCCCCACAGCCTCCACGATTTCAATAAGTCGTTCGTGAACGCCTGGAACAGAGTCAGGAACACCGTGCACCCTTGTAGGACCCGTTGCTAAAGGTTGAACAACTTGGACAGTTTTCCATCTAACACCATGTCGCTTTTTGTGAACTCTGACGTTTTCTCAACATTCTCCACACGCCTTCCCGTATTCCCAATACATCGTAACCTGTTCCAAAGCCCATTTCTCCATACTGTATCAGTCAGGCCTTCCGTACAACTAGGACAAGCACTACCACGTCGCTTATCCACAAAAGATCTCCCCCCTACCGCCGCCGCTGCTGCGGTTACCAATGACGGCGATGTTGGTATGGCAGTGTCTTCATGTTCTGCCACCCGCTCGACGAACCACCAGTGGCAAGGTATCTGAACGCGTCCAGGTCGTTTGCTCGAGGAGCTGTCTGGGAACCCAGCACGCATCCCACCTCTTTGTGGATTTGCTTCTACTGCGGATCTCATCATTGTTCTGAGCGTGTCTTCTCCTTGTCCTGATGCGTTCATGCTCCAACAACCAGGCAGTTCCACTGATGACCTGCAGCACTGTCCAGCCTACAGTAGTCCCGACTGTGGCTTCGCCGATCTCTTCGTGGTCAACGATGGCAAGGTAAGCGGTGCCCTACAACTTCTATAGCAGAGACGTAAGGTGTTGAAGACCGTACAACCAAGAACCTTCGGTCCACACTCACCGTTGACTGCGATCGCGTAAACTCCTCGCAAACACAAGAATCCTCAAGAAACAACTCGCCGATGTGCAAGCTAACGTGAACATAGTCCAAACCCATCTGGACCCAGGACTCCGCATACTTCATTACCGACATTGTTCTGTTGCTTACTGCCTAATTGTAGATCGGCTTTGACACCGATGTGCTGGATGTGTGTGCACCCTAGCGTTTCGGCCCCTCCACTTCGGCTCTGATTCATTCATTGCTTCCGGATAGAGCCGCCGACGAGCGAGAGCTGCCGTGCCCCCCCCCACCTTCTCATCACCGTCCTGACCCTCACTTCCCCTCGGCGAAACTTGTGTCTCTCCGTCACGGGTCACCGGGCAATGGTGTCGCCATGTTTTGCTCTCACGTCTTGAATATGTTTGGACTGAGCGTTACGGTGATTGCCAGGCTGAAGGAGGTACCGAGGTCGATTCGTCATACACACGAAACGTAACGTATGTGCTTCCCCCGATGGTTTCCTGCTGCGTGCATGCATAAGCTGCTGCACCACGGTTGATCCCTCATCGCGTGCTCTCGAGATAGCTAGCGGGACATGTTGTTCTCGCTTGATGCTCGCCCTAGTCGTTCGCCCATCAATCACGCGCAGTATCTGTTGCGACAAAGTCCTGTTGTTATTCCTGTCAGAGGGCATCCATTATTGTGGAAATCCACAAGGGTCAAGAGAGGTGTCCGTGGGCAAGGTGTCCGCTGTCAAACGTGTGGCCGCAAATAGTTCACGCAAGAGCTACAGTAGCTCATGCTGCAACAACCGCCACGTCCACCTCTCACGCATCCCGAACAACCCATATCTCACCGTTTGCTCCCCTTCAGCGCTCGTGTTCGTCCTGGCATTGATGGCTCATTTTCCGTCATTCGGGTGTACAACCCGCCGGCCTTTGTCTCGTACTGCTGTATTTCGGTGGAAACCTTCACAGTGGGAGTCGATGCTTGAAGCTCGGCAGCCCTGGAAGCATAGATGGTGCTATTGTTGGAGGGTGTCACCACGCGTGATTCCGAGAAGGAAACTCATTTTCCGGGGTAAGTACTCGTTATCCTTGTTATTTTATGAATGCAAGTGTTTGGCGAGGGGCGGCGGCGTGCTGTCGATGCGGTAGCCGGTGGTGGTGGTGCTCGCGGTGCAACTGCTTCTCGCTACGGTTGAGGGCAATATTTTGGGATGAGGGTATTATTTACCGCTTCTGTGTCCAATTTCCCTTGCATTCTGGCCGGAAGCCGACGGTACGGTAGAGTTCCTCCTGCCACGGCAAGGAAGCGTACGGTAACCATAATAGCCTTACCTTCCACGAAGCACCTACAGCAGCAACAGACAAACCCGAGTCCATGTCTTCCGTTCCATGCACCTATCCAATGCTGCAACATGCACTCGTGCTACACGGAACTATCGCAGGACACACCGCGGGCGGATGACTTGGGGGGCTCGTTCAAGTTCTCCATGGAGCTCGGGCCGTTCACGTTCGCCCCCACGCCCACCTTCCGTGGCAACAGCATTTCTGTCGATGACTACCCGCTCATCCCTGGCCAGTTCCTCTCGGCGGCACCGGTCGTAAATTCCGCCAACCTGGAGGTCACGGAGGTCAGGGACCTGATTCTGCGGCAGGGCGACATCCCGGCCTACCCGACTGGCCACACTCTGGGCACACCGCGTTACGGGGTCGGTCGGGGGTACTCTACCAACGGGGGGCTAGGGTGTGCTGTGGAGGCATGGTGGGAGAGGGCCACCAACGGCGGAGAAGACATGGGCGTCCCCGTTCACCTGGCCGAGAAGAACGGCAGATGGAGGGTCGGCCGGGGATGGATGTGCACCTTGGGACGAAGTCCGAGGGTGGCGGGAGGGTGGAAGGTCCATCTTCCGTGGGACTCCCACGGGAAGGCCCTGAAGGCGGCGTCGTTGCAGCTCGGCGACGGCAGCGTGGTGATGTCCACGGAGGACGGCCACATCCTGTGGAGCTCTTCGCCCTCGCCGTGAAAGGGGGTGGCGTGAAATCAATTGTTGTTTGCTGAGTCATTCGACGATCGGTCGCGCATGTAAACAGCTGCCCGTTCTCGGAGCGACGATGGAGAGAAGGATGGACGCACAGATAGAGAACGGTATATTTGTGAATACAGGACAACAGCCTTTCTGTTGCCCCGTCGTGTACATTTGGTCTGTTTCAGTATCTGCGAGCGGGCGTGGTGATCATATCATGTCTTGTCGGTTTTATTTTTTGTCTTGAAAGCTCTTTCCGTGAATGTATCCTGCATCGCGCTGGGGTCCAGGTTGGGTTTGCGGCTTGCTCATCCGTTTGGTCGCTGCCCTTGTGCTGTCTTGCATTCACCCCCCACACGGGACAGTTTCATTTGTTTCAATATGCGTGTTTCCTTGTTGTTCTCCGTGCTAAATAGCTCGGGGAGTATCTGTCACGCGCGATATTTTTTCAGTCGAACCTGCTTGATTGTGTCGATTGGTGGTGTGCCGATTTGAGCTCGAGAGTGCGGCTATGTCCTGGCGTTGCCACGTTTGATTTTTGAGATGAGCTTGGCGATGAGTCTCGTTCAAAACAGGTGCCCTTACGATGAAGGAACCGTGTGCATGACGGTGCTGTACTCCGGAGGTTCGAGCTTCTGTTTTATGTTTTGTCTTCTCCATGATGTCGGGCCGTTGGATCGCTTTAATCTATGGTTGTTTCGGGGAGTATCATTCGTTTGCCCTGAATACTCTGTGCAGGAGATCTGTCTTTACCACGTCGTGGTGAAACCGACAATACGGGGCGTTGTCTTGCACGGATGATATTTGATGATTTTCTGACACCCTACATGGGGATGATGTTGAGTGACTGGAAAGCAGTCACACATAGTATGTGGGGGCAGAATCGTACAGCCGATTAGCTTTCTTCCGCAACACAAACTGACACGTAAAGAAATACGAAATTCAGGCAACACAGTATGTAGCTCCAATAGTTCACGTCCCCCCCCGGGTTCAGAAGTAGGGCTCAACCATGGCGACGAAACTACGTACCCAATTACCAGAACGCGTACACACGCACTGGATTATTTGGGCTTGTGTTGCCCTCCCGCTATGGGGCAGGAAACGCATACACTCCGGCACGCCTTCAAACACCGCATGTCTCGCCGCCAACCCGTTCTTCCTTATTGGAGCAGCGTGTTCTCCCTCTCTCTCCCTCTCCTTCTTTCTCTCGTGCCCTTCATTGCATGGTGCTCTCCGCGTTGGTCGGCCTCTACATGATCTTTTCGCACGTCGGTGCCCGCCGGAGCAAACGGGTATTATTGCGGTGACGCAAAACGACCCGGAAATCGACATTGCTATTCAGATTGTCTATTCGGACTTGTTCCCTTCGCTCTCCCCAATATATCGTAGAAACATTCAGTCAGCTATGTAGCATGGCCGGGGGAGAAGAGGTGTCCCTAGGAAGAATGAATGCTGCTGGCTGTTCGACGGAGACCGTTGTTCCACCAACTCGAACGATTCATATTTAAGATTATTGGTACTGTAGTCTACCTGTGCGCTGTTCGTAATTCTTTGCGTCATGTCGGCCGTAACGGCACGGATACTGCGTTACCCGCAATATGATCGTCAAATATGTAGTGAGTGAGTGGTCCAGGGAAATCATTCCCTGTCCCCTATTGATATGTCGGGCTCGTGCGCTCTGGAAACAATCAAGTCCTACGGCCAACGCTGCATCTAGACAACAAGCGGGGCTGATGCAGATAGGGGCATGTGACACAACGAGCGTATGATATCTGCAATGCCAGATTCCTTTTGCTCTCTTGCGAGTCTTCCTGAGTGTTCGTCGTGACCAAGAGCCCAAAATTTCACGCACCACCAGCAGGAGCAATAAACCCGATTGGCCATCTTCGAACATGTGTCACCAAAGGCCAAAGTGATATCCGTCTGTGATCATTGCTTTCTTCTTCGCCTCGATCGATACATCATTTCGCTCGTAATATCGTCGTGTTCCTTGCACCACTGACCGTGTAAATCCTTTGGTTGCTCGTTCGGGCGGTCCCAACGAATTTCCATTCTGAATGCATCTTCCTCGATATGTGAGACGCTGACATGCCGTGGTGGCTAATACGTCGACCGGCAAGCTCTGAAAACGAATCGTGGCACGAAACGGTTCCCTTCGTTGTCCTAGTACGCCCTCATCATTCCCTCATCACGCACAGCGGTGGTGTAACAGGCTACGGAGGAGTCGTAGGAATGGACAGCGTTGTAGTCGGTGCACCTTGGTATGTTTGTTGTGCAGTCTATACTAGAGGAGGACTATCTCATCCCTGCAAAAGTCCACTTTCTCGTTGAAAATACCCATATCTTGTTGAAAACGAGGATACTCGCCACGTTGGATGCAGTTTTCATTGGGAGGTTATAGTGGCGGTGCCTCGAAAAAATAAGATAAAAAAGTACCCGAACTAGCGCGGTCTCCTTTCGAATCCAGGGGAACACCTCCTACGCAAATATGAAATCATCGAAACCCTCACATATCTGTCTGTGTGGGGCTATACACGTCACATAAATTTACTCTTCAGCATGCTGAAGTACCGGCGGCGAGCCTACGCTATTATGCAAACGCCTTTCCTTTCACTGAGGTTTGTTGGTTTGAGGTGCGGCATCGTCTTGGACTCTGTACGTGTATTACCCGGATGGCAGTGTGTTCTGTGATGATGTTGTACCGTCGCAGACTACAAGAGTCAACGCACATATTGAAGATTCTCCTTTTCTTCAAGAACTAATACTAAGGTTGTGTTTTTTTTCAAAGTCTGTGAATGGATACAAAGAAGGCCCTTCAAGAGGCTAATAACGGATGTCTCATGCTTGCAATCCCGCTGCGAAAATCCCATTTCATAATGTTTCGGCAGCTGTGGGATGTACCACGACAAGAAAGATCATTAGCTTGTACTTCGTGCACCCCACAAAAGCCCTTGTTTGTGCCGAAAGCAAAGAGGATTGAGACACTCTTTCCCATCATGAACACAAGCGTCGCCACTCGTACGTTGATCAACATGCGTTTCCCTCTACATCTGCCCTGTTTGCTGCCGCAAATCCATATGTTTTTTTAACCTCGACAGGAACTCAGCTCTATGGCGCTCAGTCTCACCATGAACTCCATCAGTCCGGAACAAGACTGGACTTCCACTGGGGTAAGGCCGACTTCACACTCTCCGGACGTCAAGCGCGGTCGAAAGGCCGGAAAGAACAAGCGAGAGAGAGAGAGAGCGCAAGAAGCTCCGCAAGCTGGAGACCGACTCCAGAATAGGCCAGCATCATGACGTCACCGACGCCATCAGGGCGGAGGGGCAGTTGTTCCAACAAGAGCACCACGAGGAAGACACCCCCCTCTCGATTAGAGCGGCGTTGGTGCTGCCCAGTGCGCCCTCCCCCCTCCTGCAGCCTCATCGGAAGGATAAGGCTCCAGCGCTGGCCAGACATACGAAGACGGAGGAAGGCGGCGGCGCCGACGAGACTGAACCAGTTGATTCCGCTCTTCAAGCCGCGACGGTTGGAGGAGAGGATCTGCGAAAGCTGCTTTTCGCAAAGGTGGAGGAAGAGTTAGCGAGGCGGCAGGCCGTTGCGGCTAAGGCGGCGGCGGCTAAGGCGGTGACGGCGGTGACAGAGGCGGCTGCGGAGGCCGCGGCGACACCGGTACAAGAGATGGCTGCGGCGACGGCGGTGCCAGCGATGGCGGTGCCAGCGACGGCGATGGTAACGGATGAATCTCAGCACATGCTACCGGGGCTCTACGTCCCCTCCCCGCCGATTCCCCCGCTGGAGTACTCCTATCGTCCTATCCTCGACCGGACAGCAAAGTTCGCCGTGCACTGCGGGTTCTGCTCAGCAGTTGCCCCACTGCTCCTTGACCACATCGTGTCGACAGTGTACGGAGCGCAGTTCGCAGGCAGCGTGGCGATGCTGACGACCGCCGACGTGGACTACATGTTCCACGTTTTCTGGAACTACGTGGTCACAACGTACACCAGGGAGGAGATATTCTTCAGGATGGTCACCCGCCCAGGTAACAGCGGGATCATGAGGGTGAGTAGTATATTTCAGAGGCACCATCAACGGGTAGGGCGAAAGGCTTTGAAAACATCAATGTTTGACGTGTGCTGTGCCTCGATTTCGCGTTGTTCTCTTGACAAGATCTTTCCCATAGATAGGAACGTCGCTCTCACGAAATGATCCGGAGATCAGAGTTGTAGATCGGCAGTCGCCACGATAGTTCGTGCGTCTCACTGGCCATGGATCACACCGAACTCCTTGAAATTCCTGCTTTATGTGACTCCCTCTGCTACAATCTACCGTGTTCTTGCCGTCCGGCCTTTCAGGACAACCTACGACCTTTGATCGCTGTATCCGTGCAATACCACCAGGACTTCATCGTCCTATCCCCTCTGAACAAGGTCCTCTTTGTGGAGAACGTTCTGACGGACATTTTCTTCAGGAATGGGTGAGTACCATCGCCAAACCCGGACGTTTTCGCATCTTCCGATAACGACTTAGAATTCAGCTTAAATCTTCGCACCTCTACTTGTATGGCATACCTGTGTAGGGAATGTCTCGGATGCTGCGTCCATTCCAGACTTCGTCGCTCACTTTTTCGGCATATTGTTTCAACCGGTCCGTCCGTACCATCTCAGTCGCTGCGGGGTGATCGGCCTCCAAGACCTGTGCCGAAGCGACCTGGTGGCATCTCTGAGTGCAGTGGGGCGGCACGAGATCGTCTTTTCGGTAAGTCCGACAGCGTGTGACAATAATCGGTAGTTGTGTGCACGTTCGTTTGTCGCGTCGCTCAAGCTCCGGGCGTAAAGTCGAAGTGGATTTGGACGCGAGTAAGGAACCTTGTAACCACCACCGGTTACAGCAACCGAACACCCTTGTAGCTGCAAATGCTGAACACCGAGATCACTTGTGTACTCGGCCGCTGTCCTCTGCTGCTGCCCTCTGCGGTAATCACCGATTTCCTTACCTCGCAAGGATTCCGCCTATCTTTCGTGGCATATCGACGGCGCCAAGATGATCCCGGGTGAATCGAGTCCGGTCTTCAACGGGGCCTTCACAAGCGGCCACTGGGACTATCCTCCCGCTGCCAGCATTTATGCCTTCTGAAGCGTTCATCTTGCTTGTCGACTAGAAGTACATGTAGCTCGTAAACGGAAATGCTCAAGGAGTCCTCACCAGCGGAAACCTCGTGCTTTCATTTCAAGCAACAGCTTTGAGCATTCCCCCCAGTTCTCGAGGGCATTCCTTTTCCGGTCGGCGTGGAGATGATGCTTGTTTTGTTAGGTGAAGCAAGCCATTAGCATACAGTGACATGGACACCGCGCCTGCTGGTGCTTGTTGTCGATGGCACTCGTGGCCCCTGTGAGTACAGCATCGATGACGACTGTAAACTTGTTGGGGATTTCGTTGAGTTTCTCGTGGTTCACTTCGTTCCAATGGATATCAGACCATGCAGTGTGGGAATTCTGTGCGTGACACATTGCCTAATTGATGGCGATTCATTTCAGAGTCCTTCCCGCCCACGCTGGACCGGCTAGAAAGGGGTTGCCGACAGGGATCCCAGCCTGGGCTTCCGTCGGCACTCGTGAGGCATTTTCGGTGGAGTCTACAGTCTATACACGTACCTTTCTGCCTCTTGTACCCGCGGGGACTGGGGTCTAAACTCAGATATTCGTTACATCTTGTGGGACTACGATTCGAGCGAAATCATCGATCACGAAGGCATAGGTGACAAGGACCTTTGAGGCAGAAGAAGGGCACGCGTTGAAACGGGCCTCTTGTGACCATCTGGATCTTCACAACTGAACAGGATCAAGCAAACGTACTCTTCGTGTACAATGTACAGGATCTGCAGATTTTTTGATGAAGTCTGAGAACGACAGCCATTAATTCCACCGCTTCTACACGCACGGCTGAGCAGCAGCACGAGTTGCCGCCTACTTTGAATGGCGACTCAACAGGTGGAGTTCACCACCACCCCCGGCGCGGCTAAATTTCGAGCTCGATTTACTGTACCCACAGCAGTACGGCAGGGCGCAAAGGATTTTCACCCCGTCCAGGCCGCGTCCGCTCCGCCATCTGCAAGGATGAACCTCAACGCACCCCGTACCACTAGCCCCAAGAAAAGATATTTCGGGGGGTGCTACAGGCAGCGCAGCCCCTTCGGTGCCGGGTGCTGCGCGCCGAACAGCCGTCGGCAAACAAGACTCTGCACCGACCGCCCAAGCGGCTCGCTCATTTTTTGTGGTCCCTGACCCCCGGTTTTTCGGTATCGGGACGAATGCCTCCTGAACCATCCCTGTTTGGAAACCCTCAATGAAGAGAACGTTGGCGCGTTGGCGCACTCAGCACTTTTCGTTGTTAGCGCGTCGGGGTCGCACGACGCTAGTAGCAGCCGTGGAGAATGTCGTCCCAAAAGCGCGGTAGGACCGATGGCCACCTTTCGAAGGAGCAGTATAATGCCGGTGGAGGTGCTTCATCCAGCCAGGTGTGTACCTTCTTTGATTCAGCTACACGTCGTGTTGCATCGTTGAGGACAGCACGCACAACTGCTGTACCTACGCTACACACGCGGTGGTATACAGCAGTAGTACGAGCAGTCTCAGCTACGCCCGATGCTTATGCAGTCAACGAGGTTGGGTGTTGAGCGTTGGAACCATGGTGTAGTTTTGGAAGGGACCCTTGTTTAGCTAACCTGGTCAGCTGCGCTTCAGATGGAAACCACGGCCGTCTGGCCCGCAGCTTCTTTTCCTCGTGTTAGATTTCCCGTCAAATTGCCCAAGCTTCTGCAGTACAGCAGTTGCCAAAGCTGCTGTCGTGGGGGAAAATAGTCATGCCTCATGATGTGTCCTTACAGGCGGGGTATTTGCTACCTCAGTACTGTACTGGCCCCGACAGAGAGGGGTGATATTACGCCAAAGGCCTGCCGCCACCACTATATCGGGACCCCGTATTTGTACAGTGTTGTAGCACTCTATCGGAAACACATTGGGAAAAACGATGCTTAATAACGACACAGCAGCACCGCAGACAGCCATGCGACTCGTTGGGGCATCTGCTGCCTTGTCAGACACGTTTTTGGTGGACCCGTAGACTGTTGTAGTCACGGTCGCCGAAGTAATGGTCGCTGATGCCCTGTCGTCTTGGCTGACTACTGTACCCTACATACATACGTTGTTTCCTATGCTGCGGTATTCACACAGGTTCACCACCTCATGCCGAAAAGCGCAACAAACTTACAATCCCGACCGTGTAGACTACACCAGTCCTCTGACTGCGGTGCAAACACGAGAGGCCCTCCGCCCGGGTGCCGCACACTGCTGTACTGCTGCTGTACGGCACGGTCACTGGGTCGGCTCTTTGCAGTATCATGTTCACGGATAAGTGTCGGAACTCGAGAATTCAGATATTTGGAGACGACTTACGTGCGGCCGCCGAGAGGGGCAACCCTTCGTCTAGAGCTTTCCTTGCACGGCAATACCTCCCTGCCTCTATGTTGCCTACGAGCTCTGCAACTGTTCCGGCGGGCCGATAGAACAGCAGAGAAAATTCCTTGTAAGGTAGCCCCCCTCGCACCCTCCTCGCCGTCTATTGTGCTGGTGGCCCCGCTAGTACTGCTGGAGACGGATCTCGCCTGTGTCGTGCAGCACGGGTTTCATACCAAAACAATTTACCACCAACATACAAAACACACCCCGGCCTGCGTACGCATGGGCTTGCAGGTTCAGGGGTTTTCTTTCGGAGGCGCGTCTGGCCTTTCTTCTGCGCCGGTGGCCGACCAAGACACGCTGACGGCGCGCAAGATCGTGAGGGTGGGGACCGGGAGGATGCGCCGCCTGAACAAGAAGTGAGTGCGGGCGCTGGTGCGGCGGTGGCAGTTCCGCCGCACGTCGTCTGAAATCGAAAAATGTTTTGTTCTGCATGTTTTGTTTTGTTTTGTTTTGTATGAGTTTATTTTGTTTTGTTTTCTATTGCTATTTATCTCAAAGAAGAATGCGGGCGTTGAAGCGGCGTGTGCTGCTTTGCCGCTGTGCATTCAATGAGGTGTTGACGCCCGCCATAAAATTAAGAACGCAGCATGTGTCGCCGCACCGAACGGGACGGAACAAAGGTTTTACCCTCTGGAAGGCGTGCTAAATTTGCTCTCATGACCGGTCTTGTAGGGTCCCCGCTCCCTACAACTGCCGTAGGCGTGGGTTCCGTCCGGTGGTGCCAATTTATTGGTTTGATTTGATATTCGGTGGAAGGGGGAGCTCATCTCCGGTACGTGTCCCCGCCCTCCCGCTGCTACAAGGTTGGTCCGGCGGAGAGAGAGACATTTATTGTTGCAACAGAGAAAGGAGAACCAGTGTTGCCCTGGCGACCCACGAAGTGAAGCCCAGAGAGGTTGGTTTTCTTTTTTCCCATCAAATTGAATGCCAAGGTCGTGGCGCTTGTAACTTTGGGGATGGACGAAACAGGTTCAAGGACGCAGTGCAGCAGGTGCTGGCGCGAGACGGCGATACGGACCTGACCTACATGGTGGCCGACTACTTGTCGTACTCGGCGAGAGTGCACCAAACGTGAGTCCGGAACCTTGTTCTAGTTTCTATTTCAGCTTGTACCGCGAGGAACAGAAACTGCCATCACAGCTCTCATCATGCCGTCGATCTTTGCTTTGGTTGCGTGTGGTGGTGGCGGTGGTGGTGGGGGCGGGACTGGGGCTGGTGATGTAGTGTAGTGGTGATGTTGGCGTTATTGCTGCTAGCGTTGGATGTCGTTGGTACGGCTGCTGCGGCCGCTGTTGTTTGTCTTTGCGAGGGTTCAGGTGGGTGGGTTGACGTGGCTGTTGCCATAGATGAAACAGCACCTGCGCTTAGTATGGCCGAGCCCCCAACCTTTGCGCCGTGCCCCATTTGCGTAGCACCCGGTTCACACGCGCCCCCTCCCTGTCTTCGCCTTTGTTCCCCCCTCACTAAAATGCTTTTTGGCAGGTTCTTCGCCGACCATGGACAGGTGCACATGTGCGGCAACGGGGACTGCGGCCAGGTAAGCCACAACGGCAGGGTACTGTGGTACAGTAAGTGGCTACGGTGTAAGAGAGGTTCGAGACAAGCCAACAACACTCTCCTGTTGCCGGTTGTCTCTTGTTCAGCAGTCTGTTGAACCGCAGCCGCCACTTTAACCAATCTGTATACCATGTAATGGGGGCAGTTAGCGATGCCCAGCGTGTCGCCCTGAGTCAATACTCCCCCCGTCACCGTAGACGGTCGCGGTACACGATATGGGATGCGATGGGATGGGATGGGATGGGATGGGATGGCCCAGGACATGAACAAGTAAGCTCCCGGAGCAATTGGTTCCGTGCCTCAAGGGCCGGCGTCAATGTGCGACACCGACGAAGCGTGTGTTCTCTCTGCAAGTGAAAGTCCAAGCGCCTTTTTTTTACGCTGCAGACGTGAGCGCTTGCGTGTTAACTATGTGGTAAAGACACCGTCTGTCCGTGCGAAAAGAGAGGGTGCCCCATCCACGCCGGCGGCCCCCATGGCGCCAGCATTGAGCCTCTGCCTGACCGCAGACCGCACAACGAATGTGCTGGTGTAGAAGAGATGTATGTAGACAAGCAGAGGAAAGAGGAATGATGACGTTTATCGAGAGGAGGAGAGGAAGGAAAGAAAGAAAAGCGTTTCGTTATTTGTCGTGGTCTGGCGTCTCCGTGCCCCTGGTCCCTCTCGCCCCCTGGTTGTGACCTCCCATCGCTAAACGCCCCCCTCCCCTCTCCCTATTGCGCGTGTTTGTCTCTCGTGTGTCGCAGCTGGGCTTCGGGACGGAAGAGATGCGCGACATGGACGTGAAGGTGCCGAGGCTGCTCCCGGGCCTGTCGAAGCATCGGGTGAGGCACCAGGGTTCCGTGAAGTGTTGTTGGAGCAGTTGATACTCTAACAGGCAACGGACGCCCCAACCGCGTCTGGCAGAGCTTGGATAGGAGCCTACAGTTTATTGTGGGAGAGTTGATACTACGGGCAACGAACGCCCTGCAAAAGCTTTGATAGGAGACTGCCGTGGAGAGCGAACACAACAGGCAAACAACGCCCCAGGGCATGCATGTGGCAGCGCTTCCGATTCCTGCGCAAAGGGTGCGGTAGGCGTTTTGTCGGTCTCAAGCGGCAGCTGCGGCCCCGAGAAATGTCGCTGCTTATCCCGAAATGTTGTTTGCTTACCTGTATCGATGCCGATCCCGTCAGGCCGTTTTCCAGTTTTGTTTGGGCGATTTGGAACACGCAAAGAAAACATGTCGAATGATCAAGTCATTGGTAGTTGAAAGTGTGGTGCTTGTACAACCAGTTCCAGTGTTTGCGTCATCACTCTACCGCCACAAGCAAGGCAGAGTAGCCGCATTTCCCCCGCGATTTCCGCGGGGCAAACAAACGTTATCGTCGATTTTTTTCGCCTTGGTGTCCGCACGAGCCTTGCGTCTTAACAACAGGGTCCCTCCCCCGCATTTTGGCATGTACCACTGCTTGTACCATTAGCGAAGTTTCCTCACCTCTTTATCCTGTACAAGGATTTTGCGGGTGGCACGATTTCCATGTTTCCTGGTTTATCGACGGCACTTCAGCGACGGCCAAACGTCTTGCGAACGCCGGACACAAAGGCCTGTTTTCGGGGTCGGTTGGAACGGACGACCTTGTTCGTTTCTGTAACAGTACCATCTGTGGGTCATACACACAACCATTGTAGCTTGCCATCTGCAAGCATTTTGGTCCCGCTCGTTCGGTACGTACTACCGGGTGGAGCTTGGCGGAGGAGTCGCCGACTGCCGCCGACCAATGATAGTCGCAACAAGCAGCGTTTTTTCTCTGCTGCAACAACACCCCGCTCCCTGCCTGCCCAGGTGACGGCCGTGACGTGCGGGGGGATCGCCACCGCCGCCCTTACGGAGAGCGGGCGCGTGTTCACGTGGGGGTCTTCGGACGACGGGGGGATAGGCCGTCTCTCGGGGCCCGATGCACCGGAACAGTTCCCGGGGGAGGTGGGTGTACTCATGTTTTGCGTGCCTCAGTTGTTAAACTATTGTCCATTGGCGGCGGGGGGGGTAGGGGGAAGTCATGTAGACGCATGTCATCGTCGTTAGACCGTTGACCTCGCATCCCTACAATGCCGGGGCGGAGCGACATGTCGGGTTTTCACGTGGTGAGGCAATCCCATCACCAAGCGCGAAGTGCCTCGGGCGGGGGATGTACCCATGTTTTGCATGCCTTCGTTAAGACCATTGGCCGAGGGGTTCACTCATGTAGGTGCATGCCGTAGTCATTGACCCCGTATCCGTCCAATGCCGGGACGGAACGATATACCGGAGTTTTGCCGGCCCAGGCCGGGCGGGGCTTTCGTTCGGCATCAACAGCGCTAGCCAATGAAAGGACGTCGTCAGTCTTACGATGTAAGGCGGGACGTAGATAGAGGCGGACGTGTGGTTGTGTGTGGTTTTGCGAGCGTGTGGAGCCTCCTGCCGGTGTTTCCTGGCACGGTAGCGTCCAGGAAACTGGGCAGCACAAGCGTGTTTAAGTTCAACATGAGCAAGAACGGCATCTGTCTGCGGCAACTATTATATCTCTTACCTTCTTTCTTCTCCATCAGTTCATTTTTTCTTCGCGGAATCCACCCGCACGCCGACATGGTTTGTTTTCCCTTGTTTGTTTCGCCTCCCTCGTTTTGCTCATTCTGCTGAGTTCTGTTTCAAGTTTCACGCGTGGCCCTTGTCAGTAAAATAATCCACGCACTCGATCTGCGTGTTTTTTATTTTTTCTTCTGTGCTCCCGCGCCGCCCCCCCTTTCCGCCTGTCATTTTTTTTTTCTCGTTCTGTGCGCGCTAAGGTCAAGGAGGGTCTCGAGGGGGCGACCATTATCGGCCTCGCCTCGGGAGATTGCCAGACCATTGCGCTCGACCTTTCGGGGAAGGTGTACGGGTGGGGCTGCTTTAAGGACAAGGTCAGAGACGGGCGCGAGGGTTAAGTCAGCTGCAACCACAAAGTGTTAGGTTGAGGGTTACGGTGGGAGTCCCCCCCCTCAGTGGTGCCCGTCACGTTCACCGGCAATGGTCTACCGGGGGCACCACCCACCCGAAACTATGCAAAGAATATGACAAGCTTGAAAGTTCCACCCCATGTCACGCGACATCACCGGCCCTATCCCCGGCGCTGGAACTCGGCAACTCCCTCTGTACTGTGGTGGTAACAGGCCCAGAAGTCGACCATTCCGAAGGCCGGGTTGTGTGAGTTGGTCGTGCTGTCCAACGCGATGATGGCGGCGGCCGCAATCGGCTGTTTGAAACGTACGGGGAAACCTGGTCTCTTGCCCGGCTGGGATAGGCAAAGGAACTCAGCTGCCTATGCATAGCTTGGCTCCGTGGGGTACTGGATGTGCTGTCTGTGCGTCTCTTGCGCCAGTCATCGCAATTTGTCGTGAGGCCGGAAGAGCGCGTGATAGGGAACAGTCTACACATGCACGGATTTCTTTGGCATTTTGCTGGCTTGACGTGACCACAACGTAAATTGCCAACATGTGTGTTTCTCAATGCGGTCGGGACTGTGGGGCCCCCTTTTTCCACCACCCGCATGTTGCGGCTACTCGAATATACCGCTCCTTTCGCTCTATCCCCCTCTCTATTATACGTTTCTATCCCGCTCTCTCCCACTCTTGCTCTGTGTGTCTCTCTATCTATCTGCCTTTGCCTATCTATGTATCTGTCTCTGTCGTAAACTCTCTCCCTCTCTCTCCCTCTCTCTCTCTCTGTCTCTGTCTCCTGTGTTTGTGACGCGTTTCGTGTGTGTCTTGTAGGAGGGAAAGCAGTGGTTCCAAGCCCCCGCGGACAAGGGGTCCAAGGCCTGCAAGGGTGCTGCTAAACGGCCCATCGTGGTAAGAGATATTTGTATGTCACTGAAATATCATGTATGCATACTACCTTCAGCATCGATATTGATGACGTTTTATGATGTTCATTATGTACGCGATGAGGTGCGTGCATGATGTACACGATGATGTGCATGATGTGCATAATTGATGATGCATGGCGTACATGGTGATATATATGACGAATGTACTGACGATGCACATGATGGTGTACACGACGATGACAACAACCGACCGAGCACAGCGGCGTCGTCAGCCACGAACTGCATGATGTCTTCTTCCAATTTCCATTGGAGAGCCACCCGAATTCGCTGAGAAGAAGAGCGGCAAACCAAGCACGCAGTGAAATTTTCTTCCACAGCGATATTTATTCTGTTCAAATTGGCATCACTCGTTTCATATCTGAACGCATACTTGACACCGAAAACTACCGTATTTTCGCGAGAGCACGGCAACGCAGTAAAGCCCACCAAGTTCACTGGATTCTCAGGGGTCCACAAAGTGAGCGGGAAATCAAGAACGCAGTGAAATTTTATCCACAAGGACATATCTTCTTTATAGAGATGCGCATTTGTCGTTGCGCATCTGAGCGAAAGATTTGGACACCTCCAACTACGCGAGAGTGAGAGCAGTACGATCCACCACGATCACTCGTTTCACAGAGGTCCCCTCACAAAGTGGCGAGGACGGTGTTGACAGGCAAAGCATGAAAATCTTAGGCTTGGAGGAGAGCTGAAGCAATTCGTGGACAGCGTGTATGCCACACGAAGGAGCTTTCACGCCATTTCGATGGGCTAGGATCATTCGACTGCCGCAATCGCTGTTATATTGACCGATCTCGTCGCTGTTTATTTGACCAATCGCATCGCTGCTTAACCCGTTGGACCGATCAGATCTCCGGTCTACCGCCGCACGTGGCGGACATCAAGTGCGGCAGGTGTTGACAGGCAAAGCATGAAAATCTTAATCTTGGAGGAGAGCTGAAGCAATTGGTGAACAATTTGTATGCCACTACGTATGGAACTTTCACGCCATTTCAATGAGCTAGGATCGTTCGACTGCTGCAATCGCTTGACCAATTCACATCGCTAATTTATTGACCGATCTCGTCGCTGTTTATTTGACCAATCGCATCGCTGCTTGGCCCGTTGGACCGAACAGATCTCCGGTCTACCGCCACACGTGGCGGACATCAAGTGCGGCAATAGCTTCTGCCTGGCGCTGACAATGGCGGTAAGTCACGCAATCGCAGGGGGGACTGTTGTACACTGTCGCATCCGCAAGTGTACTGGTTCACAATAACGAGCGTTGAATTTATCGTACGAGTGATACAGTACCTGGTTGTTCCATACGGTATTTTGGGACATTTTATCTGTAAACACGTGCGGAGCATATTTTTGTTTTGTTTTTTTCCTCCCACAATCTCCCAGTCACAACACACTGGCGTTGTAGCCTTTCACAGCGCGACGCGGCGGGTGTTGAATTTTATGCTGGCGCACCGGCCAAAACCCACACACTGAACAGCAGTTGCCACACCACGTGCTGCTTTGGAGGCGTAGGATAGATGTATACATACGCGTGAGAAAGAGTTGCCTCGGTTCGAGGCGCTGAAGATCCCTATGCATAACCCGAAAGAACATTGGTGGTCTGTTCGGCACGACAACGCAGCGGTTTCCATCATTTCGCGGTTGCGGTCGTAGCTAAACTTCGTTTTTTTGTGTGCACGTGTGTGTGAGAAAGGAATGAGGGTAGAGGGTCCGCACTTGAACATGTACCACCACTGGCTGCTTGGATGTAGTCTTAAGTATACTTCGATTGTGGAGCGATGTGGTGGTGTTGCCTCACTCCCCTACACCAAATGCACTCGTGCGAACGCCGTGGTGGGTTCCCTACATCAAGTGCACTCGTGCCGACGCCGCCGGAACAGTGTGAAAAAAAAAAACGAGTCTTTGGCGCAGCCGGAAAGACGGGATCTCACACCCAAGGCATACCACACGCAGGCGGAACCGGCAGCGGCAGCGGCATGACCCGCGGCGTTCCTTTTGGGGTTGCTCGAAAAAAAAAAAGTCTCCCTCCCCAAGCAAACCACCACGAAAACAAACGCCCTTTCTGTTTGTGTCATTTATTTTTTTTGCTCACGCCATGGCATTCCTTTGGGTCGCTCGAAAAGGAAAGAACTCCTCCTCCCAAAGAAGAATCGCCTACGACAACAAACATTTTTCTTTCTCTTTTTGTTTGTTCCACGCCAACAGGGCGAAGTGTTGAGCTGGGGCATCGGGGAGATCGGCGAGCTTGGTCGAGAGGTGTGCTCGATGAAAGTGCCGCCCGTACCGGGGTCGGACGAGGAGCCTCCCTACGACTTCGACGGCATCCAGAGGGACCACCTCACCCCCGCGGGCATGTACAGGGCGGCGGAGGACGGGGGCGCGCGGATGGAGAATGTGAAGGTGTGTGGTTGCTTTCCTCTGCTTGCTTTGCTTGCTTGCCGTGCTTACCGTGCTGGCTCTGCTGGCTCTGCTTGCTCTGCTTGCTCTGCTTGCTCTGCTTGCTCTGCTTGTCCTGCTTGCTTTGCTTGCATTGCTTGCTTGGATAGATGGGTGCATTCTGCACGAATGCCTGTGCCCAGCAACAGTTATTTTATGTTTGTTGATAAAAGTAGCACCAACGGCCGCGTAAAAACCGTGTGTGCGGTTGAAGCCATGGTGGGATTTGTAGTTTTCTTTTCAATTTGCCTTTGTCGTGGCACCACACTCGCTGTCGGCAACGCCGAGGTATCGTTATTTGTATTATAGTGGTGAGCATGACAAAATGGTTTGTAGGCCATGTTGTCAGCAAAACGTGCCCTGTCGCCTTGCTCTCTAAAGTTAGTACTGATCGGGCTGTCCAGGCCATTTCTCTCGACCCCTGTATCCCTGCCTGGAAAATGTTGTGTTTATCTCGTCTTCTTGTGAAGTCGATGCCTATTGTGTCGCTTTTTCCAACGCGTGTTGCCACTCAAATGAAGAAAAAACACTCGGAAACACATGTACGGCGCTCCCTGGGCTTGTGATCTCTTTCTTTCGTGCGCAACGAGGAGCAGCACATTCGCTCAACAACAAACAACGTTTGGTAGCACCAGATAACGACAACCAGTTACAGCGTCACATCCCACACATTAGGAGTAACGCGACACCAGCCAGCCACTGCTAACAACAACAATGAATGCCCATGCCAACAACAAACAATGACAGTAAACCTTATCAACAACCGTGGCAGTAACCTTATCAACAACCGTGGCAGTAAACCTTAGCAACAATTGACGGCGACGACAAAACTACAAAACGGCAGGCGATCGGGTGCGGAGACTTCCACTCGCTGTTGGTGACGAGGGCTGACGCCGACGTTTACGCCTGTGGCCTCAACTCGTACGGCCAGCTGGGTCTGGGCGACACGGACAACAGGAAGCGGCTGGCGCTCGTACGAGACCTCGCTGTGCGTCTCGCCCCTTGACATAGAGAATTAACTAAAATTGCAGATAGGGAAGAGGGGATCTACGTGTGTTCTAGTTCGATTGTGTTGTGCTTTTGCTCCTCTTCCTCTCTCTCTCTTTCTCTCCCTCTCTTGCAAATGATGTGTTGTGTTTGCTTTGTTGTGCACGCTGGGACAGTTTCTTCCTGCGTTTGGGTTGTTCTCTTTTGGATGTGCTTGTGTCTCTCCCTCTCCCGCTCCCGCTTTTTTTTTATTTTTCGTGATTTCTCGGCCAGACAACATCCTTTCCTCGTGGACGAAATGATCAATCACTCCCGTTATTCCTAGTCTAGAAAAGGTTTTGTGTTTCTTCGCATGCATCCTCCGTAGAGAGAAATAACAGACATTGAACACCGCCCTGCCGCTTGTCCTTTTGGTTTCACGAACAGCCAAAATAATAGGGCTTGCACTGTTATCTTGGTACATGCTCCTATCCATGAGTGAAATGGCAGGCTCTCAACACGGCCCTCCTTTCTTTTTCGATTTCTTCACTGATAAGCCTTGACAAGAAGTCCTTCTGCTTCGCTTGTTTCTATTCATCTGCAGGCTTTGAACACGATGGCCGTGGCCGGCGGGGGTATGCACTCCCTGGTCTTGACTACGGAGGGGCTCTTCTCCTTTGGCAGGAAGGACTCTGGACAGCTAGGCTGCACCGCTGCAATCAACAAGGGCGACTGGGGGGCCTTCGAGACCAGTCCCATGGAGGTGCGGAAAGAATGTAGTCGTTGCTGCTGTCGATGTTGTTTTCGATGACAGTTGGAGCTGTTCTTGTATTAACTGTTGTTGTTGTTAGTGTTGATGCTGTTGGTGTTAGTGTTGGTGTCGCTCTTTCTTGTTGTCGGTGCTGCTGCTGTCGCTGTGTTGTTGGCTGGTTCCGTGTTTTCTCAACACTCTTTCCTCTTCTCTCCGCTTAACTCCTGAGTCGTCACGAGCAATGTAGATCGGCGCACCCCAACGCAGGACACAGCAGAAAAAAACTCAAAAGAGAAAACAAGGGGTGACTTGCTACGACAGGAGGGGGGGGATATAAGGTTCTTGAGAACTAACCTTGCCAAAGACACCGCATTCATCAGGAGGCAGTCACAAACGTTGTCCCAACCAAGGGGTGTTCTCTTCCGCCTTTGGTAACGCAGAAGACGAGGGACAGACGAAAAAGTATTTGACCTTGAAAATGCCGCTGCTTCGTGTTGGAACTCCATGCTAGAATTGTTTCGATCTCTCTCTCTCTCTCTCTCTCTCTCTCTCTCTCTCTCTCTCTCTCTCTCTCTCTCTCTCTCTCGGCGATACCTCCTGCGTCATCGCAAGCTAGGTCTGCATACCTCTTCACAGCAGTAGATGATGGCAATCCTCGCCAGTACCTCTTGGCTCTACATACGCTGAGGGGTTTCTCGCAACCTCTCCAGAGTGAACAAACAATAGGCTAACTTAGGTGAACAACGCGCTAGTCATTGATACACACTTGGCGCAGAGCGAAGGGAATGACTGCTGAAGCCCTTTTCGCCTCGTTCAGTGAAATAGGTAGGTACGACGGATTAGATGCCTTCAGTGAAACCCGGGCTGGTGCGTAAACAATGCGCCGATGGGTGAAGACCGGCGTCGCAAGAATATTATGTACAGGATGGACGAGGAAAAAGTAAAGGTTGGCGTCCATTGGACGACACGTTTTTTGTTGGGGGGGGGTTGCAGAGATTGTTTTGATTACGGTCATGACGCCTTTGCTTTCAGTGTGCGGCTGTACCTTCATCCGAAACTCTCCGATTTTTCGGTGCTCGTTGTTGCCACTGCTCACTCTCGATGCCTCTCTTTGCAAGACTGATGGAAATACTCCCAAAGCTGCGGACACCGCTGCTGCTGGCAACGGGACAGCTGAGCAGCAGCAGCAGCAGCAGGAAAAATGTCTTGAACTTACCGCTGTAGCTGCTGGTATTGCTGGCTGCTTGGGTCGGTCCATGCCTGTCTCCGTTCTGCATGCAGGTACACCTACCCTCTGGAGCCGGCAGCCCCCGCAAGGTGGAGTGCGGTACTAACCACTGCCTCGTCATCACGGACAAGCACGAGCTGTACACGTGAGTAGCACCTTTTGGAGGGGGGGTGCATTGTACGTTGGTGTCGCGCTGATATATTTTTCAGTTCTCTGCCCAAGATGACAGCGGTGATTTTTCCTGTATGGTTTATCACGGTGACAATTGTTGTCATTGACAATGGCGGGAGCGCGCACAACAAGTGTTTGCTTCGACAGTTCTTTTGACTCTACTGTGCTCTCTGAACACGACCAGCAGCGGCAGCGGTTGCGTTGCGGTGTGCCGCGAGAGCGTGATGTCATGCAGGTCCCAGTCGTGTCTCTCGTCTCTCTTTTTTTTTTCTTGGTCCGCTGCCTCGTCAAGACGGAAAGATGCCCCGTTGAGTCTTGGCGTAGGCAGTGGGTAGGCCGTCGCCTGCTGCATACACGCGTGTTCACCGGCCCGTTCATGCGTGATCCCCGTCTCCGGGAACGTTGATCCGAAGTGCTCTTTTCTGTTGCCGTTTCACTCTGGTCTGACGTCATCATTGTTTTGTTTTTTTTTTCCTTTGGTGGTGCGCACACAGGTGGGGATACGGCGAAATGGGCGCCTTGGGTCACGGCAAGGACGTCGACTGCAACTTGCCCAAAAAGGTCGACACGGCAAAACGCGGCATCACCAAGGTCAGTTGGTGCATGTCTTGTTCGCGGTGACACTGCTGTAGTGTAGTTGTGGACATTATGAAGTGATGAGTTTTTTAATCGTAATATTTTCTTCAGTATTCGGGGCCGTTGATGCTGGTTTTGGGTGTCCGTGGTGTCGTTGCTAATTTGAAGGGATGTGAGACGTGGTTTGGCCATAGCGCTTGTGCGCAGTATGATGGTGTCTCACGCGTACAACCCCGCTCTTGGGATTTGATGGGCTACAGTGGGAGTCGCCAAGTAATTCGATTGCCCTAGGTGGCATTGCCGGCGGAAATAGGAGGCATTGACGGAGCAATCAAGTTGTGCTACACATTGAGTAAGGCGGCTGCCCCTTAAGGTGGTAGTCTTGTTATATTGATTTTCAGCTGTCCGACGACTGCCTTATTCGGGGACGCCCACTGTACGGTAGTGGGCTGCTTCTCATACAAGTTCTCGGACGTAGCCCACAACGATTCGCGAGGAGAAGGTTCAGGTATTCCTGCGAAAGCTGCTGCATGCCCCCTATTCAATATGCGCATCCCCTCGACCCAACGCCTTGCTCTGCTCCGCGTCCGCGTTGAACGTTTTTTTTTATGGCTTGTGGTGTCAGGTTTTGGACGCAGACGGAGGCGGACAGCATAGCGCCATCCTGGGAGAAACGGCGGACAGTTAATTGTTGAACAATGCCGATTCAAGTGGTCTGAAACAGCGTACACACGTGCAGCGGATGAAGCCAGGGAGGGAGGTGTTGGGAAGAGGAATCCGGGGAAGGGGGGGTATGGCTTGCTTTTCCCTATCAAACCTGTCAAAATACACATACGCGCGTTTCTGTTGGGCCCGTTGCTCGTCGAAGGAGTGGGATTCTATATTCGTAGAACGGCCAGGGAATATGCCCACTTTTTGCCGACGAGCGCGCAATAAATCGTTAGGTGGATCCAGTCTGGGTAATGGGCTCCTGAGGGTTTTGGGGGAAAAGATGCTACGTAGTCGGTAGTTTAATTGGAGAGCAAGTTATTGTATTCTGATAAGGTAAGAATAGTGCAGTCTTGAAGAAGCAAGCGTGCTGTAACCGGTGCGACGATCATTCCGACCCGTTACAAGCAGGGTATGCATACGAGTGTGTTCACGGTGGTGTAAGGACAGCTACGTTACGGCGTGAACAACTCCGCGAATGAATGGGACAGGCGTGATGCTGCCGTGATACCAAACCCGTGCGGAAAGATGGAAGCGTCCGATGATGGTAGGTGACAAAAGGCCGAATTTTTTCACTCCTTGCCACGAAAGGAGCCTCTTTGGCCGTAGTAAGTCGTGTTCACTCATTTTACGTGGTTGAAACGAGTGGGCGGAACCCTCTTCGTGGCCAGGCATCTTAATCCGTGGCACGGCACCTCCCCTATCTGGTTTCAAGAACGGGTTGGGCAACCCAGGAGATCGGAGCTCCGGGGTTGAATTCTCAATGGCGCCCACCCGTGTCCCAACTCTTTTCCCTGATCGGCATCGCGAAAATACGTGCTTGTACAAGAACCACCGATACAACTCGGACAAAGTGAATTGGTGGTGCATATTCCTTGCGAAAACCTCCGATCGGTGGACGCTGATGCTGATGTTTGCTTGGAGGTGAGTTGTGCTGTGTCCTGGTGTAAGCACACCCTGAACCTACCTCGCTTACTACCACTATGTTATGCATACGATACACCCCGGTCACGTTCAGGGTAGAACGTATCAATCCAATCCTGCGATGATTGTGGGCGATCGCTTGAAGTTGATAAAGTTCGTTGGCCGAAAAACTTATCGCCGGGAAAAGTGAACGAGAGAAGTGAATATTTTCCATCATATTTGTTGACACCGACCGGGAACCTTGTCAAAAGAGGACAGGCCATTGATGTCCGCGTTTTCATATGTTCCGTCAGGTTTCCTCCTCTAGATATGCGAGAATCTCGTGAAGGACAATCGCCGAGCGTTCTTCGCCACTGTTCCACACACGCCTGCAAAAGTACACCAGAGTGACAGGGAAAGCGAACAATATACATAACGGCCAACGAAAACCGTAGTCGACTATCAGTCTCGAATTCGGTGAGGAGCGGTGTGTACCGACCGGTGCAATCAGATAAGTCAATGAGACTCTCGGTAAGTGTAAAGGAAATTACACCCACGGTGCCTAAGCGCCGCATCGAGGAGCTGCCAAGAGTGAAGAAATCAACCCCCCGAAAGAACAACACAATACTGTTGAAAATGTTTTGGGTTAGGCTTGGATGTTGAAGTGGATGGAACTCTCCAGGTCCAGGGCGTGCCCTAGGAAACGCCATACCTTGGGTGAAATGTTTCATTGGTTCCAATCATTCAATGGAGCGTGATTTACTCCTCTTCACTCCATTGTTGTCCGGCCACAGACAGACACAAAGTGTTGATGCCGTATTTCCTATCGCCTTGCATGCACACAATATAGTAGCCGGAATTCGACACAAACCAGACCCAAGTGCAACACACACATAATAAGACGGACGGTGCACCCCCATCGACAAATCTATCAATGAATATGCTGCAGGCACTTCGTCGTCCTCTCGTTGTCGTTTGTACGTTTCTCGATAACCATGACTTCCTTCCGGTGTAATTATGGTATGCGTTTGGCCAGAAGCGAGCGAAATCATCGATCGAACGCATCCCAGCAAAGGCTTCCGGGGCGGGCCAAAGAAGAGCGCACAGTGACATGGGCCTCTTGTGCCCACATTAGTACCTCTTCATAACAGACAATCATGGCAAAAACAAAAAGTATACGCTCGGTCGAAGCACACCTGTTCCGATCGAAGACCCTTACGTGCGCGCCCCGGGCGGCCCGACCCGGCAGCGCCTGGTCATGGCGTTATCGGTGGAGGAAACCAAACCGCGCTTGATTTACGATGGTCGGCCACTCAACGCACGTCTTGACCCCCCGGCTTTCCCCATGGATACGGTGGCCCGGGTCGCTAACATCGCTGCGGAAGGGTGCTACATGACCTCCCTCGACGGTTCGGGTGCTTTCCACCACATCCTCATCCACCCCTCGTCTTGGCCGTTGCTCAGTTTCGAACACGGCGGCGTGCTCTACTGCTGGTGTGTGCTCCCCTTTTGGGCTCTCCGTAAGCCCGTGGTGTTACCATGTGCTGAGCGACGCTAGGGCGGCCTTCCTTCGTTCCTTGGGAACCCCACCTCTGGCGTACTTGGACGATTCGTTGCAGAGCAATCCGGTGGCCACGCAGGGCCTACCGGCGCGGGTGCAATGGACTCCTGCGGGCGAGGCCACCCACCGCGGAATGCTGGTGTCCTTCCTCTGCGCCCACTTCCTGTCCCTGCACAAGTGCGACCTCCGGCCGGCTACGGTGCACCAATATCTCGGTATCCTGTGTGATTCCGGCACGGCCTCCTTCCGCATCCCCCAGGACAAGCTCGACAAGTTACATGCTCGGATCTGCGCCGCCCTTCATGACGGATGGCTATCGTTCCGTACCCTGCAGCGTATCACGGGAAAATGATGAGCATGACGGTGGTGATTCGCCCGGCGTCCCTGTGGACCCACGCCCTCTTCCACGCCATCACGGTGATGGATAAGTCCGGCGTGAGCGGAGTCGACCTCCGCCGGGACAAGTATGCTGACTTGCGGGGAGAGCTCCGATACTGGTTGGGCATCGCGTCTACAACTCATGAGGGGCCGTGGCAGCGAGCTCGTCACTTCAAGGCTGCCCTCACCGCAGGCGCGTCGGAGGCGTCGTCGGTGGGGTGGGGCGGCATCGTCTACGCCGCGGACGGGCCCTTCAGGGCGGGGGCGGTTTTCCCGCCGGATTGACTCTCGAAACACATCAACCAGAAAGAGATATGCGCCTTGTATCACACGCTACGGCAGTACTGCGAGCGCCGCCCGGATGCCTTACAGCGTGCCCAAGTCTTGATCGACTTGGATACCCAGTCAGTAGTCGGCGTGTTCGCCCGAGGGCGCGCCAAGAATGGCGAAACCCACGCCCTGTTAGTTCAGCTGTTTGACCTGCAAGTCCAGTACGGTTTCCTCTTGTCCCTCAAGGGGGTCCCCACCGACCAAAATCGGGTTGCAGACGCCATCTCGCCGCCGTCCCGGGACTCGATCGTCCGTCTAGCTCCTGACGCCTTCCGCGTCTTGTGGGAGGCTGTTGGCCCGTTCAACGTAGATCTGATGGCGTGTAGCGCGTCGGCCCAGCGTTCGCCGGCCTCCGGCTCCCCTTTGCCGTTTTTCTCGCACTTCGACTGCCCGGGTTCTGCCGGGGTGGATGTGCTAGCGCAAAACGTTGCCGCAGTCCCTGGAACGTTAGAAGAGGCGTTTGGTTTCTGTTTCCCGCCGCCTGTGATGGTCGGCCACGTGGTTCAGCATCTCGCCGAGTGTAAAGCTCGCGCGGTGGTCGTTGTCCCCGATAGGAAGGAGTACTGGTTCCCGTTGGTGCGCCACGCCGCGGTGTACCGTCGAGAGGTAGCCCCGGCGGCCACGCCGGGAGTTTTTCATTGGCCTAGTGCGGATGGCTCGCTGCGGCCATGGCAGTATCATTATTGGGCGATGACGGCGTATGAAGTCTACTTTAGGCAGTGATGTCAGCTTCGGGAAGTGACACCCCTCGGGTGTCGTTGTCGATTGGTATGGATTCTATTTTTATTTAATGCCACTCCCCGCTTTGCGTTCCCCCGTGCCGCGTCGGTGATGCTCGGCAGCCGTCGGCGGCTTCGATGACCTTTGCCCCAGTCTCGTGGACTGTTTGTCGGGCGGGTACCCCCGGCCACTTCAACTTCTGTTGGGCGTGTGGTACCCCGCCGGAGTGAGGGCGTCCGGTCCCTCGGCGCCCTCATGCTTCCCTCTTCCAGTTGATCTCCCCAAGCTGCGTGAGCGGCGTGAGTACGTCCTCACCAAGATGGTGAGCCGGCCGGGGTAACAGCGCGAGTCCAGCGTTGCGGACGAGTTTCGACTCCTTTGTTCTAGCCGTTTCAGACCGCCGCCGGGGCTGGAAAACTGCTACTGATTCGGATGTTCTCGATGGGTGTTGCTACCTTGATTCGCAAGGGCACGGCACCACCCTCGTACACGTGCATCGTGCCCCAACGTGGGGTCAGTGACGAAGGTGGGCTGCTTCCCGGGCTCCGGATGCGCCACCAGGTATGCAGCGGGCTCGTTGCAGAAGAGCTTTGTGTCCAAGCTCAACATGGCCATGCGGGAGCAGTTGGGAAAGGTGGAGGCGTGCGACCCGGCGAGCAACTCGGGCAATCCTTGCATTAGCTCCCTCGTCTCATTGTATCTTGCGTTCGTCACCGAGGAACAGTACAAGGTGGGGGTGCCCGTGAAACAGGCGGCGCCAATGTTCGTGCGCACGCTAGAGCAGCTCCTGCAGCGTACGCGAACGCGAGCGGAACTCGCCGGTTCGCCGGGAGCGTCTATCGCCATCGCGCGGGGCGTCGCCCTCTACACCCTGGCTTTCCACATCATGCGGCGCGGTTTCGAGTTGTCGTTCACCTAGGGCACCTAGGTCATGCGGCTGCCCGCGCACGCGGGATTGGTTTTTAACTTCATGTTTGGAAAGTGCTTGCGATCGTCCACTGACGCCGTAGTCGTCCGTCCCGATACCGAGAACCTCAAGACTTTGCGCGGTTCTCGCCGTTACGGAGTACATCGCGGCCGCCCACGAGGTAGGATGGGACCTACAAGGTGGGCATCTGTTTCCGGAGGTCAACTCCGACGGTAGCCGAGGGGCGTTGCCGCTCACGGCTCCCCGCATGACGGCTGCCTGCAAGGACACCTGCGGGCGGCGAACCTGTCGGACAAATTTCCCATGCACTCCTTCAGGGTCCGGGGATCCCTTACCCAATCCTTGGCGGGTACCGCGGTTGACGAAATCATGAAACTGGGCGGTTGGAAAACAACGCACGTTGCCGAGCGGTACATCGGGCAGACCACTAGTGGTACGGGTGGAGGTTCCAAACGTAAGCAAGGTGGCGATTACGCAGAGGCCAGCGACATGCCGTTAGACCCTGCCTTTACGCAACGGTTTTCGGCGTGTGCCCGGCGATAATTTCAACTAAGTAATGGGGTTTATTCCCGGCTTGGCGTTGAGGAGGAGGTGCGAGACGCGACGGAAGTTTGGGTAGGTCCGCCAGCCGGGCGGCAGGAGGCCTCATCCAATCCATACTTACATCAAGTGATCGACCAACGGTGTCAAGAATACAACAGCATTCTGCCGAAACATCAAAGAGATATGGGATAGCACGCCCGCGCGGGGGGAGGGGGGAGGGGGGGGCTACTTGCTGGCAACAGAGTGGGGAGGAAGAGGGGATCCTACATATGGTCTACATTCCGCACTATCCTTTTTTTTTCGATGGACCCGTGGGAAATTGTATTGAAACCCAATGGGAGACGGTGCAACCTACACAGTATTTCGATGAACGATCGCAAACAACGTTGACCGAAAATTCCGGCAAGATCTAGACTATCAATGAAATCAACCCCCAATCCCCAGAACAACATAGTACACATCGGAGACCCCCAAAACGCATCGAACAAAAGCAGTTTTCCATCGCAAAAGGGTTTCTGAAGGTCAGTAGAGCTGCCGAGTGTTTTTCGCATCTAAAACCTCTGTGCGGCATCGCTGTTCAATATCGATTCCGGTCACACCAACAAAAAGCACCCACCGCCTGGTTCTCTCTGAAGCCCCCGGTTTCCAACCTCTTCCCCCACGACCGCCCCTGCAACAACATGTTCCTACTTCCCTCCCACCAAATGTTTGCATGCTACTTTACAATACGTGTCGTTTTCTCTTCTGAACAAACAAGCGCCTAGACAAAAGAGAAAATTGGTCCCTCCCCCTAAAATATATCTCCAACTTTCTGACCTTGTCAAGCCGCTACGTAGCCTGCATACGTGTTGAATGACGCCAAAAGACGTAAGCGAGCCAATGCTCGCCAGTAGTGAACACATCCTGAAAGTTAAACGGCGCATATATGAAATCCTAACCCGATTTTCTGCAAAAAGCGCTCCCCCGTGGGTTTCATTCGATAGCGACATGATCCCCGACACCCCGATCACCAAGCCAGCCTTTGCACGGTGTCATATGTAGCGGTAAAAATCAACCCCAAAGGCACACCGCAGTAACCGTCAGAACAATCAAACCTTATCGTACAAACACCATTCATTTCGCAGAAACACCGTGACGTTAATCGAAATCACCGCGATTGTTGTCACAAGTCATCCCAACGTATCAATCTGCCACCCTACCGACAGGCCAGCAATCTTGAAACCTCACGGAGGTACGCCACAACTGGGATCGTAGTCAGTAAGAAGCACGGTGAACTCTACGGTATCGGACTGGACCTGTTCCTCCTTGTACATGTAGACGATCTCCCCGGAAACGCGGGCGGTAGAACGCCAAGTCGGCGGGGTTTCGGAAGTTACAAATGGTAAAAACATGCGCCCTTTGTACTCGCCCAGCACCTGGCTGGTGTCGACGTCAAGCCCGCTGTAGAGAATGTACCTTTTTGCCGCGGGTGAGCTTCCTGCCCAATTGTCCTGGAAGACTCCGACGCCCTGCAGGAGACAGAATCATGCGCCGTGTATTGGTGGGTTTGAGGCACCCGGAGATCGGGGACGAAAAAACTACTTCTTAGTGAGGCAAGCGCATTGCCAGCCAACAACAACACAACACCGCACATCACCCACAAATACGCACGCGCGCAAGCAGCACTCTCCCCACTTACCCCGGAAACGTCCCCATGGTCGGAGTTGATGGTGTTTAGGTCGGGTTCAGTGATCTCATAGGGAGCAAAATTGCCACCAATCCACTCGTGAGTGATGGTCAAAGACGGGACGCATCCCATGTTGGAGATGTCAAGCGAGAATATTGACGTTGCCGGCACCACCTCCGCCGCGACGTTCAGCGCCTCCGCGGGATCCTCGATGACAAAGCTGAGGAATAGCCTGCTGTTTCCAGGAGGGACGTCCGTCACGAGCATCGACAAATCTCCGGATGCGCCTCGTATTTTGAAGCTGCCGCGTGCAAAGTCGTCCGGCTGGTCTGCGTTCTCGATGTAGAAGAAGACGGCCGACGAGAAGGGCAGTGCCGCACTGTCGTGACGGACGAACTTGCCGGACACGTAGACGGATCCGAGGTTCGCGTCGGTGAGCTCGATCTCGCCCCATGGTTGTATGTCCACTTCGGTAACGCCGAACCCACCCATCACTCCTCCGTCGATGAGGGATCCCGGACCAGCGAAGCCACCCGTCGCCTGTGCGTGGGTATCCAAATATACATGTACATGGATCGTCGCATAATACGTAATGCAAGTTATTTTGTATGGCATGACAGGTTGATTCGGTTCACGGTTGCCCGTACCCCACAGAGGGCTATCAGCTTCGTAGACGCCTCTGGGACACTAGAGCTTTGGGCGTGGTCTGGTATCATCTCCCTTCGCCACAACATGGTATTGCTGCAACAAATCATGAGGTGACAAACCGCCGCTGGTTTCTCGTCCCATGGCCACGTCACCATGTCAAACGTCAGAATGAAAACCAAGAAACGGGTGTGGATTTTACGGAAGCACGGGCGTGGTGCATTCTTTGTGTTTGGTACTACTGTCAATGTCAATAGCGTATGCCCGACTTGACATTTTTTAGGGACTGTTGTAGACACACTATCCCTCCCTCGCCGCCCCCGCTTACAATGTCACCAATTTTTACCCTCACTCGAGAAACCACACAGATACTCACGTCAGCTAACATGGCGGCGACGATAGCCTTGGAGGGGAGAGCTACTGTGGGGACCCCTGGTTCAACGAACAATCCAAGGGAAGTAGGGTGCAGATGTTTGGGCAGCGTAAACGATAGGTGAAAAATGCCCATTTCACGCGGAGAACTTCCGACGGCGAGAGTCCAACGCATGGATGTGAAAATAACGCTCGTTTCCTGCCTCTCGTGGACAAGAGAAAGCCAAGCGACAACTCCAACATGACTACCCGTGCGTGATTCAGCTTTGGCTCTGTATGTATGCCGTTCGTTTGAAAACACAAGCACAAGCTGCACTTTTCCAACAAAGAAAAAATCAAACCAGCGTTCATCTTCCCACGGCGAGAGCTTCTCAACAGCGGTAGACAACCACACCAGGAAAATTCTCCGTCGTGCCAATAAAGTCGAAACGTTCACGCGAACCATCTGAGCCATGGGCGAAAGTTTGGCGCACATCCAACTACACTGAGTGAGGCGCGTACCTTGGGGGACGCACACGTTCGCACCATGCCCTGAGACCTCCCCGGCGGGGCAATCCGTGCAGGGTTGTGTGCCAGTGCTGCTAAAGGTGTTGTTCATGCAGAAACCTTTTCGCGGCGAGGAAGAACAATCAACATTTCGGCTGCTGCAGGTATCATTTGGCGTGAGAAACACCCTCAAGTCGAGTGATATGCCACGGTAACGTAGCGCCGGCAGGGAGCCTTGGCTACACACGCATTTTTCGAATTCTACAATGAAACAGGATCCTTCAAGGAAACTGGCCGAGGCTGCGCCAGCGCGTGGCGAAACCCTTGCCAACGAAACTGTTCCCTCTCTCCGCACTTACCGCGTTTCGGCACGTTGTCTTCAATCTGCCGGTGGGTGGGGTGATTAAGGATCAAAGCAGAGAAAGACACAAGAGTGAGGTTAAGCTCGGTTGTTTAGGTTATGAATGTTTGGCCAATGCTGGCGCTGACAAGCGCTGACGAGACACGAACAACAAAGTTTGGTGCACAAGGCGGGTACAAGTCTTGGTATCCTGTTTGTCCATGGTATGGATACAACAGCTTCGCGTGGCTACAGTATTGACACGGACGTACGATGATACCCACTGCCTCTCATGTGCAATGCTACTGCAGATATTCCTCAGAAATCTCAAGAAGGAACAGTGTATAAAATTTGGACCATCATCTAGAAAGATAGAAATACGTGCACATTTCCCGCATGAAAGCACGGTGGTCCATTTGCCACACCCATACAGGGCGATCAGATGATACCGTACTTTGAGCATTACCAACTGCGAGACTCACCGGTTGGGGAGCGGGTGTGATGGGCGCAGGTGTGGGAGGGGTAACCTAAGCAGCGTATCGAAGCACAACAGTGAAATGCCAGTGTTGTGTTCAGCTAGGAACTGCATCGAGGAGGTCTAGAGAAGAACTTTCAAGAGAATCCACAGAGTAAAGAGAACACAACATCCTGGCAAGTGTGAACCCGCCTTGTATGAGCGAAAGTATGATGTAAGAAAGTGAACTGGGTTCGGAACCACACCTCTCTTCAATCGTAGCGCTATTGAATCCGTCGCAAGCGGTTGGATTCCCCCCGCATGCTCTCTTCCGACCTGTCTTGTAGACGGGTACCTATTGCTATATATCAAGGGTAGATCATCCTGCGAAAAGTCTCTAGCAAAGGCCAAACGGCAGTTAGTAAGCCTCAATGAAGAGCGGTGAGTAAAAAGGCCAAGAAAAATATTTTTCAATAGATCTCAATCAATTATTTCGCTGTCAACAGGCAACACACAGCGATCTTGACATCGCAACTCACTCACGGGAGAGCAAGCGGACCCGATGTCGATCATGGAGTCATCTTCGCAGCAAGTGGAGTCTTGCGGGTCATGGCACGACGAGCCGTAGATGCATTGCACCTGTTGCCGAGGAACATTCAGAGCGTTCTCAAGTCATCAAATGCCACCAAAAGAAATCACCACCCTTAAACAGCACATGGAAGCAAAATCGTCCGAACGGGCGTTCACGACCAAGGTAAACGTACATAGCTGTTGACAGCCCCACGATACCACCAAGAAGACACCCAGCTGTGAATGTACACACATCTAAGTCATGACTGAACAGCATCTTGTTTCGTCATATCGTAATGACTCACTTCGTTCGGGCAGCACTCGCCATTTGACGCAATGCTTCCGTTGTCGCACGCCTGCCGGCAGGTGCGTGAGCAGAACAATGCATCCCAGGGGGCGGTGACGAGGACGCATTGGGACGAGTTCATTGTGAATGAGTAAATTCACTCTCCAGGACACAGATTCTGCTGTTTCCGATGAATTTGCGATCGATTAAGTAGAGTGAACACCGCAGCTAGTTTCACCGGCGTGTCATTTACGTGTTAGAGCAGGACACACTCAGCCCGTTTGCGTAGTGCGTGCTGCGATAGGAGCCGACCTACAGTACCGTCCTCGATGCGTGTTGGAGATATACTGCATATAATTGTAGCCGTTGTGTCTTTCTTCTCCTTCCCCTCCCGCTCGCCGCCCTTCCTCGTTTTCGTCTCCGTCCTCCTCGTTTCCCCCGGTACTCCTACCCCCCTCCTTCTTTCTCACCGCCTTCCCCCTCTTCGGGAGTCTACTTCTCTCTGCCCGTCGAGTGCGTTTTCTTTTGGCTAGTCTTGCGCCGTCAACAGTCTCGGCTAGGCCTACATCCTCTTGCGCTGACCATCATGCTCTCCCTCTCTTCGTCGAGGTGGTACACCGTACAACGTGCAGGCGCGGCGAGAACGCACGAGCGCACATGTCTTGGGGGCACGCAGATGCACATTGACCCCCCCATACTGCACGGTGTCCCTTCATACAGATGGCCAATTGTACCCTTCCCCCCCAATAAAGATCCTAATAAGGTGAAATGTGCACTGTCAACACCTGCCGCTTCATTCTGCAGCAACACGCAACGCCATTTTCCCTAGCAGTTGTACCAAAGGACAGAACTGACCGCCACGTAGTTGCAGCTGGTCGTGTGAAATAACGGTGGCACACTTTTGACACGAAGCACTTGTCGAAAAGGTTCGGTTTGTTGCCGTTGTGCGCATGCCCGACAGACGCGTGATATGATCATCTTGCTCACTGTTAGCTACCACCAATTTCACCGAAGGGGCGCGATACATAGAGCTCACGGACGCAACAGAACGCACGGGGGTGCGATCGACTATATTAGCATTTCGCTCTTGACGAAATATTGCACGGGGGTGCGATGTCGCCGATCCGTGCGATATCACCGACGCGTGCGTTCTCTCGCATCCTTATGGTGTCGGTGAAAGGTGGCAATTCTTGTCTTGGTATCCAGGTCTGTCTGGGATATCAGGAAACAAAACGCCTCCGTACACACACAACGCCGAGCCTCAAGAGCAAGTCCGGAGCCGACCAACAAGCTAGCGGCCTAGCATGCACGCCCAAACAAGAAAAACAACCTCTACGCTCCTCCAAACCGCTCAAGGCGCGGTGGTGAGATAGCCCGCCTCGCAAGAGGTTATTGTGACCATCCAGATCACTCGCCTGTCGGTTCTCCCGTGGCTCTTGCGGCAAAGAAGTCAGATACCACCCCATCTCGGTGAAACACATCTCATTTTGACGCCGACTCAGCCGATTCATACCTACTTTCTCGCCCTCCCGCCTACCTGCACACTAAAGTTCTGCGACAAACAAAACTTACTACCTACATGTCGCCGTCCCCCAGCCCCGCTTACCCTTCACGTGTTTACTTTCTTTCAAGGGTGCGCTGGACTTGGAGCTATGGCGGCTAAAAAGACATCTCGCAATCATGCCCACCATTAATTCCCTACAAAACCTAGCGCTATCGCACCATCACAGCTACCAGTCACTCGAGCATTGCAAGTGTTCGCAGGGGGGGGAACCTGCTATTGTGTAAAAGTCTTCCTAATTATCTCTTTGCTGACATACACATGTTTTCGCAGTCTCTTCATATAAAAAAAGGGAAATTGTGTGCCTTCAGTGGCTATAAATCGGAGTGGGGTGTAGCGCATGTTCACAACGCCGTGAGTCCTTGCGCCGCTGACAGTCTGTACATAAACAAATGTATAGCCACACGAAACTCGTAGTTCGTCGGTATACCGCGCGCGTATGCAATCATGCAACAGCCCATCCATACTCCAACATGCACACAATTACTCGCTCCAACAACCACTTTGCGAGAGATGAATGCAACTCGCCCCTGTGGTACTCATAAACAGACTTTTTCGCCAAGGCGATTGACTGGTCAAATTCAACACAAATAAGCATCCAACAATAGCAACCAAAAAGGGATCGTCGTAAAGTACAACGAGTGTCTTGGGGACGCTCTATCGCACCTCAAAAACTGTGAGGGGGAGAGAGGATAGCACAAACCAAACCAAGCGCGCCAACCGAGCCCACACTCGCTCCGGACGACGTTTATCTCTGTGTGCCTTGGTTGAACTGTACCATGCACCAATCATGACGCACACACCGTAACAAATACTTATCCTTCGTGCGTATTGGGGCAGAAAGTGTGCGCAACCGGACGGAAAGCGTTCCCCATATTTCTTTCCACACGACAACATCGACGAAGACAACGTCGTCACCCACCAACTACAGGCATCTTGCCTCTCAATAGCATAGTACCTAAAGACAGAGCCTACCCTAACCCTTAAGTACCCTCAAAAAGACAGACCCCCATTGCTTAATCAATGCGGGCCAAACATCATGTAGTCCCAGAAGTTCGCCCCCCCGCAGCTCTCCTCCACCCGTACAATTTGCACACATGTATGTTGACACTTCCGAGAGAAAAGAACGTCTTTGAGTACACCAACAACGCGGCCAGAACCACCCGTTGCCTGTTCCCCTCGCCCTCATTTTTGCGTGCAAGTATTTGCGCTCCCGTCCGGCTCCGACATCATGCCGCGCCTGCTTGCATCTCCCGATATTTTACAGGTCCACGCCAATTTGCCGTTCCTTCTCCTCTTCCTCCCCCTCCTCCTCCACCTCCTCCTCCTCCTCCTCCTCCTCCTCCCCCTCCCCCTCTTCCCGCTCCTTCCCCATTCCTTTCCCCATGCTTGCTACCCGCCCGGCCTCAAGCTCCTCCGCCTGCTGCCCATCACCTCCCTCCGCCCGTTTGTGTACCCCC